TTGAGGGCCGCCGGTGGGGTCAGTTGGGGAGCGTATTTCAACCGCAGTATCCTCCCTACGCTGTAGCCTCAATACTGAAGTGCTCTCGGACGGCTTCGTCCGGAACGAGTGCGTCTTTTGTTGGGTTTTCCGGTTTGCCAGAGAGGGGTCGGTTGGATGCTTTTTCGGATAGGGGCGTTTAGTACCTGTCGGAGGGGACCGTTGGAGTTGATGATCATCGATCTGAGTAGATGTCTACGGTAGTTCTATATACATAGGTTAGCTAGTAGATGGTAGATGGTACCTACTAGGTAGGTATTCACCATGTCCTACTGTAGCTCTGTAAAGACAGGCCATTGTACTTCTGAATACAGATAGTTTTACTTTTCTCCTACATATGATCATATTATCATCATGACCTTTACTGTACTACTCCTACTCCGTACTCCGGGTTCTTCTTGTCGGTGAGTTGTCCACGTAGGCGGTCCCTGGCGACCAGACCCGAAACCCGGAGCCCCACCATGCTAGTAGTCTGGATCGCCCTAGTTTGGCATCATGATATCCTAGGATACAGTGTACGACGTAGCCGTCATCTCTCTCCAAATTGGGCGTCAGGCAGACATCCGATCGGCACATTTGTTGAGACCATGATCGGATATTCGGTAGTATTCGTTAGCATGGAGGGGTGAGAGTCGTTTCCTGTGGTTGGTGAAGCTGATAGTGCTGATCTCATCCTCCGCACTGCATGAGATGGGAATTCTCCTAATCTGGTATACTACATTGCACTGCTACTCTCGGAGTGATAGATTTCTCTTCCCATTAGTAGTAACGGTCAGATTCTCCTACTCCGTACTCCTTACTTCCGTAACCACAGGGAGTCTTCTCAATCGGGGATGGGCTCCATCATGCCCACCTGCACCGATCCCAACAAGATTACTAGCGGTAATGCAAGACGGCTCCCCACCCAGACTGATCGATACACGGTACTCTCCATCCCAGACTCATCAACTTCCTCCAGCTTGCCCGATATCGTTCGGTTTGATTTTGGGGCGTCTTTTTTTATTTTTTTACTACAAATTATTTTTTGAATTATTATTTCTGCCATTACGCTCCTACGTATTTTCTCCCCCTTTCCTCTCCCAGCGTCCCCTCCATTTTCTCATCGTCTCCATCATTTCCTTCTTCTCGACTCTCCTCCCCCTCCATTCTTCTTCCTCAATTCTCTCTCTTCTCTTCTCTTCTCTTCTCTTCCCATCTATCCTCTCCAGTCGCGCTGACTCTTGCGACTTTTCTTCCATCTCCCTCTAATTCATCCTCTTCCTTCTCTTCTCCATTGTTTGTTTTGTTCGGGAGCTCCATTGACCGGTATGTACTATCCCATCATCCTCACCACCATCACCACCACCACTAACAGCTCCCTCTCCAGCCATCATGCCTGATTCTGCTCCTCTGCTGAACACCGCCAATGGCGGCTCGGCCAACGACAACATCACCCGTTTCAACCCTCCCAGCCGGGTTCGCTCCCCTCAGTCTCACGCCCTCTTCCACAACAAGACACGATGCTTCGTATAGTAAGTCCACTGGACTCGCCCCGACGCCAATGCCCCTCTAACATCTTGGATAGTGGTATGCAGCCCCGTGCCGTCCAGGGTATGCTGGACTTCGACTTCATCTGCAAGCGGAGCACTCCCTCCGTCGCCGGTATCATCTACACCTTCGGTGGTCAGTTCGTCAGCAAGATGTACTGGGGTACTAGTGAGACCCTCCTCCCCGTCTACCAGGATGTGTCCAAGGCTATGGCCAAGCACCCCGATGTCGACACCGTTGTGAACTTTGCCTCTTCCCGTTCCGTCTACAGCTCCACCATGGAGCTCATGCAGTGCCCCCAGATCAAGGCCATTGCCATCATCGCCGAGGGTGTCCCCGAGAGACGCGCTCGTGAGATCATGGTCACCGCCAAGGAGAAGGGTATCACCATCATTGGTCCCGCTACCGTTGGTGGTATCAAGCCTGGTGCGTTCAAGATCGGTAACACTGGTGGTATGATGGACAACATCGTCGCCTCCAAGCTCTACCGCAAGGGCTCCGTCGGCTACGTCTCCAAGTCCGGTGGTATGTCCAACGAGCTCAACAACATTATCTCTCAGACTACCGACGGTGTCTACGAGGGTATCGCCATTGGTGGTGACCGCTACCCCGGTACCACCTTCATCGACCACCTTCTGCGCTACCAGGCCGAGCCGGAGTGCAAGATCCTCGTCCTCCTGGGTGAGGTTGGTGGTGTGGAGGAGTACCGTGTCATCGAGGCCGTCAAGAACGGCACCATCACCAAGCCCGTCGTGGCCTGGGCCATCGGTACGTGCGCCAGCATGTTCAAGACGGAGGTACAGTTCGGTCACGCCGGTGCCTCTGCCAACTCCGACCTCGAGACCGCCGTTGCCAAGAACAAGGCCATGCGCGAGGCCGGCATCCACGTGCCCGAGACCTTTGAGGATCTGCCTCAGCTCCTCAAGGAAGTCTACGACGAGCAGGTGAAGAAGGGTGTTATCAAGCCCCAGCCCGAGCCCGCTGTTCCCAAGATCCCCATTGACTACTCCTGGGCTCAGGAGCTGGGTCTCATCCGTAAGCCTGCTGCTTTCATCTCCACCATCAGTGACGACCGTGGCCAGGAGCTTCTGTACGCTGGTATGCCCATCTCGGATGTCTTCAAGGAGGACATCGGTATCGGTGGTGTCATGTCCCTTCTGTGGTTCCGCCGCCGTCTGCCCCGCTACGCCAGCAAGTTCCTTGAGATGGTCCTCATGCTTACGGCTGACCACGGTCCCGCCGTGTCTGGTGCCATGAACACCATCATCACCACCCGTGCCGGCAAGGACCTGATCAGCGCCCTCGTCTCCGGTCTGCTGACCATCGGTTCCCGCTTCGGTGGTGCTCTCGACGGTGCCGCCGAGGAGTTCACCAAGGCCTTCGACAGGGGTCTCAGCCCCCGTGACTTTGTCGACGGCATGAGAAAGGAGAACAAGCTGAGTATGTTGATCGTTCCCCATTTACCGCACAACCTTGACTAACCTGCGACAGTCCCCGGTATCGGCCACAGAGTCAAGTCCCGGAACAACCCCGATCTCCGTGTCGAGCTGGTCAAGGAGTTCGCCAAGAAGCACTTCCCCAGCACCAAGCTGCTCGACTACGCGCTGGCCGTCGAGTCCGTGACCACCTCCAAGAAGGACAACCTGATCCTGAACGTCGATGGTTGCGTTGCCGTCTGCTTCGTCGACCTCATGCGTAACTGCGGTGCCTTCTCCGCCGAGGAGGTCGAGGACTACATGCGCATGGGTGTCCTCAACGGTCTCTTCGTCCTGGGCCGTAGCATCGGTCTGATCGCTCACTACCTCGATCAGAAGCGTCTGCGCACTGGTCTGTACAGACACCCCTGGGACGACATCACCTACCTGCTCCCCGCCCTCCAGAAGGGTGGCTCCGAGGGCCGTGTGGAGGTCAACATCTAATGCTCATACTATTATTAATCTTCTCTTTTCCTTTCTTTTTTGTTGGTCCGGTATGCTCTCCCGTGCGAAGTGGCCAGTGGGATCCTGGCATTCAAAAGATCCGTCATGTATTGACGTGGAGTTATGATGGCATGCGTTGCATTGTTTTAATTTTCCTATTTCATAGTGTGCACATGTGGCATGATTGTTGATGAATCTATGGACGAGAGTCTAATTCAATTGAGTATCACTGTAATGCGTAGTGGTGAGAAGGATCCATCGAGCGTATAATTGAAGCTCTCTACAGTATGTGAGCAATAAAAGCCAAATCACGTGAACCAGATCAGGAACACCCTCACCATCTTCCGCGACTCCAACAAACCCACCACAGCCCACACCACTACGCGACTACACCCAAAATGGTCCGTCTCAAACACCGCTACCTCCTCGTCGACATCCTCTACCCAGACCCCTCAACCTGGCCCTCAGCTCCATCCTCACAGAGCACCACCCCCCACCTCCAAATCCACTCACCCACCTCCGACGCCCTGACGCCCAGCCTCCTCGCCAAACTAATCCGCGACGAAGTCGCCGCCCTCTTCGGCGACTGGGGCATCGGCCGCCTGGGCGGCGTCGGCGCGGGCGGCGTGAGCGTCAAGTACCTGTCGCCCGCGACGTCGACGGCGATCATCCGGTGCCCGCGCGCGTCGTTCCGACTGGTCTGGACGGCGCTGGCGTGTATGGCGCGTGTGCCGGAATTGGGGGCGAAACGCGGCGGCGGTGGTGGTGCGCCGCCGGCGCTGACGAGGGCGTGTGTGTTTCGTGTGCTTAGGGTGTCGGGGACGATGCGCAAGGCGGAGGAGGAGGCGATTCGGCGTGCGAGGCGGGAGATTGTGCGGTTGCAGGGGAGGGAGGAGGTGGGGGTTCTCCAGGGGATTGTGGGGAATTTGGAGGAGGGAGTTGTGAGCGGTGGTGATGATGTTGTGGATGTTGAGATGGGGAGTGATGGGGAGGATTGAGCGGCTGGGGACCAGCTGTTTTACAGATGAGATGAGAGATGAATCTGGGGTTCATGCTGCCCTTGATACCTACGGTGGTCTGGCTCGTCAAGCACCGCAGGCTGCACGGAGCTCAGCTGCTAGCTGCGACTGGGCACTTGCGACGCGTGGGATACACGCTCTGCTGCGCGCCGAAATATCCTGAAGAGTCTGTCTCCCATTGTGGTAGGTCTGTTCACTCTCCTCAGTTCTGGGTCTTGCTGATGATCAAAAGCTGGATAAGGTACATCCCAGTCATGACGAGACGATGTCCGGCTCAAGAACTACACCACGACCTCACGAATACAACATGATGCATTATACGCACATTCATAAGATATTATACAAATACAATGTCATGATTTCCGGACAACCTTCACTCCGCTATCCGGCATCCCGCCTCGTCGAAAGTCATAATCGTATTCATCGTCGTCGTCATTACCGGGGTTACTCTTGGCCCTCTCCGCGGCCTCGTTCATAGCCTTGGCTTCGGCCTCCAATTCCTGCCGTTCCAGCTCGTCATGCTCATCCTTCGCATCGAGCCACCGCTCCTGGACGTCGCGAACATCCATCGTGCCGAGTCCCTCGCGCACCGCGACCTGCCAGATCGTATCGTTGGCGCCCTCCGCCGGTCCAAAGACGTACCCGCTCGCCCGGTCAATCACCCGGAGGAGATTCATCATGCTCTTCTTATCTTCGACGGCTAGGGTTTCGAAAGCCACCAGGCCGAACTCCTCGACGAGGTCGACTATTGCGTTGTTCAGGGCGCCGAACTTCTCGTGCGACAGCCGCGAGGACTCTGCTTCTAGATGTGGAAGCAGATAGGACAGGTCTTGGACCTCTGTGTAGAAATCGAGGTTGAAAGGAAGCGGGGCGTAGTTGGAGAGATTGTCGATCTTGGTGAGCACGTTCAGATGCGGGAGGTCCATCTGGAGCATGGCGCGGAGAGAGAGAAGGAGAGCGGAGATGTACATAGAGGGGAGAGTGAGGTTGTAGGAATCGATCAGGTGGATTACAATTAGCTGCATGCGCCGTTAGCCATCCGTCCATGTAAACGAAACACCAGAATCAAGGCGCATACTCTATACCCCATCTTCTGGAGTTTGAAGAAGATATTCCTTAACGATGAATGGTGCGTGAAGATCTCTACCTGTCCCGGACAGTCAAACAGTATATAGTCATCTGTACCCAAGTTAGCATGCACGTTCACACGACGAGAAAATGCGCCGACCTCCGAGCTCCTTCAGCCCCTCCTCCAGCCAGTCGAAGTTCTCCTCCAGCTCTTCCAGCGCATACAAGATGCCCCCGTTCGGACCCAAGTGGTCCTCGCTCATCACCTCCTCCAGCGTTACGAGATCACGAACATCCAGTGCACACGGATACGACGTTTTGTCATTTGCGGGGTCCAGGTTCACGATGGAGCATTTGCGGCCGATGGCTCCGAGGAACTGATGCATGCCGTTGCAGTAGGTGGACTTGCCTGCGCCTGGAGGGCCGATCACAAGCTGTGCAAACGGCATGGTGGCGTGCACACCTCAGGATGAGAACCAAATCAAGTAAGATGTAGAAAATCACCCCGGATGTTTCGATGACAAGCTGAAGACGATGGCGGGGAGGATATTTGATCGAGATGGCGGTGAGCGGGGGCAGAAAACGGCCGCAAGACAAGCTTCGGTCAATGACGACCGAGCATGCGATCAACAACATCCCGTCGCAAGCCGTCTTTCTTTGCTCTCCACACCGACCATGGCGTCAAGTAAGTGATGCCCTTGCTATACCCATATGCGCCCTAACTCATTGGCCCCAGATCAAGTCACTGTGGCATCTCCGCCGTCGGATGCCATTTCCGCCTTGAAGTTCTCGCCCGACCCCAATTCCACGCGATTCGTTGTATCCTCATGGGACAAACATGTATATCTGTACGAGCTGCGCGACGAGAACGGCAACATCGGCGAGGGCAAGCTATTGCAGAAGTTCGAGCACCGCGCACCCGTCCTGGACGTATGTTTTGGCGAGACGGAGGATGAGATCTACACGGCTGGTCTGGACTGGGACGTGAGAAAGTACGTCGATCTTGCCAGACACCCTACCACCCCCTTGTGAACATGTGCCTAACTCTACCTAAGGATCGACGTCGCATCGTCGACGCAAACCGTGCTGAGCAGCCACGACGCAGGCGTCCGGAGCGTTGTCTACAGCAAGGAACACAAACTGGTCATCTCGGCGTCGTGGGATTCAACGCTACACGTGCATCGCGCCGACGGCTCCGACCCGATCCCCGCGACCATCCCGCTCCCCTCCAAGCCCTTCTCCATGTCTCTCACCGCCACGAAACTCGTTGTTGCCATGGCCTCGCGCGCCCTCCACATCTACGACCTGAAGGCGCTGGCCCTCCTCACGGCGCAGTCGGAGGCCGACGGCGCAAACAAGGTCGAGGTGGAGCCGTGGCAGCGCCGCGAAAGCAGTCTGAAGTTCATGACCCGCTGCGTGGCGTGCATGCCCGACGACGCCGGGTACGCCTCGTCGAGTATCGAGGGCCGTGTCGCGGTCGAGTGGTTCGATCCATCGCCTGAGTCGCAGGCCCGCAAATACGCTTTCAAGTGCCACCGGCAGACGGCCGACGATGTCGACGTCGTGTATCCCGTCAACTCGCTTGCGTTCCATCCTGTTCATGGCACGTTTGCGTCTGGGGGTGGTGACGGCGTGGTCGCGCTGTGGGACGGTATTGCGAAGAGGCGAATCAGACAGTATCAGAAGTACCCGTCTAGCATTGCGGCGGTAGATTTCAGTGGGAACGGTAAGTATTTGGCTATCGCTGTGAGTCCGGGCTTTGAGGACGGGAAGGATGATGTGGTGGAAGGCACGGTGAAGATCTTTGTGCGCGAATTGGGTGAGACAGAGGCGAAGGGGAAGGGTGCAAAATAATTATAATTAGTTGTATGATGAGTATCCAATTTTATGAACCCGAACTTTAAATCTTTGGGCTATATATATTTACTTTAGTTACGCGGTGGAGTCGATATGGCCAAGCCTGGTTTACGCCTAGACAGGGGAGAAATAGGTAAACAGCAACGTAAATCGTATATCCAACGCATCATCTAATGGTATCATTTTTCACTTTGTATAACACCTCCAACTCAAGCGGCCTTCCGGACCGAAACGGAGCCATCGGGCATGCCGAAGTAGGCGGCAATGGGCTTCTGACCGCCGATGCCTCCGGCAGCCTGAGCCTGAGGACCCGTCACGCCAGAGAAGATGCCCACGTCCAACACACCGGGGATCTGCTTGATAGCGCGAGACAGAGCATCGACCTCCCAAACACCGCCCTTTCCGCTGCCGTCCTTTCCAGCGGCAACATCGCCCTGCGTGAGCAGCGTCTGGAACGGGGCGTCGATGATGAAAAAGCCTTGGTCGGTCTTGAGAGGACCCGGCTTGGGAAGCTCCGGAGAGGACCCAGGCGGCACCCGAACAACGGGGTTGATGCTGCCCAGTTCCTTGAGGGCGGAGAGGACGCGGTGAGCGGCGATGGGAGCGACTTCAATGGGGATATATTTCCAGTTGGAGAGGAGACGGGATTGGAGCTTGCGCGAGTCTGTCACAGTGTGAGCATGCTGGTTTCACGGGTTAGATGCTCCAAGTGACTCACCAGCAACAACAATGAACTCCTTGGCCTGGAGGGCCACGATCTTCTCCTGGAACAAACAGGCACCACCGCCCTTGATAAGGTTCAGCTCGTCATCGACTTCGTCCGCACCATCGAATGCCACATCCAGCACCGTTCCCTCCGGGAGCGAATCGAAGTCGATGGCCGTCAGGTCATTCGAGACGATCAGCTGCTTGGATTGGAACCCCGTAGGCACGTATTTGGTCTTAGAGGTGTCAATACCCGACTCCTTGATAGCCTTGACCACGTAGACGATGGTAGAGCCACTACCAATCCCGACGAACTTGGCGTCCTTGGGGTAGTGGTTGTCCACGGCGGCCTTGCCGGCCGCGCGTTTGGCCTCTTCGATTGCGTTCGACATGGTGGAATGAGGACGAGAAGGCCTGGTGAGGAGGGCGTAGGTGACACCGATGGAGGAGAGAGCACGAAGCCGAGAAGTGAGAGGAGGAGTCGAGAAGAGAGAGACGAATCGGGATCTGAAGATATTAATTAGTAGGCGGAGCAAGCCGGGGTGGGAGGAGGTACGGTAGCTTTTAGTCGCGGGAACGGCAGATGGTGGGGTTGGTCGAGGTACATAGAGTACATGGGACTCACCTGGTCAAAATGCAGCCACGAGAGAGGGCCGGAGACATGACCACAGAGGGTTCAATTGGCTTGTCCTGCGCAAGACGCGTCGATATCGGCACCGGCGACTCCTCGATCGTGTTCTTTTTTCCCTTTTCTGTCGTCTTCCGCGGGGTTGTGTCGTCATCGCTGCCTTGGCCCCTCAGGCATCCCCCACGGTCAAAACACCATCACGTGTCAGCCAGCGCTTGGGGATACCGCTTTGGGGATTCCGCAGGCCAGGCACCATCTCCAACTAACTACTCCGTACCTACCTTAAGTTGAAGTGTCAATCGACGGGGCTCAGAATCGGCTGATTAGCGCATCTCCACAATCCCAAGTGCACAATCGGCTCTTCCAACCCCGGCGCGCACTTGTCCATCCCATATCATACCGTTGTTCTATCCGTCGCCATCCCCGCATTGTCGGTGCTCGTCTGAGATCTATCCAACATGACGGAGGCTTTCCCCAGTGCCCTCGTCGGCCCATCGTCGAAGGAGAGAAAGTACGATCGCCAGCTTCGACTCTGGGCTGCAAGCGGCCAGCAAGCTCTCGAGGAGGCTCGAGTCCTCTTGGTCAACTCGGATGGCCCGTGGAGCGATCAGAGCACCGGTGTGTCCGGCGTAGTGGGTGTTGAGACGCTGAAGAACCTCGTACTTCCCGGCGTTGGGGGCTTCACTATTGTGGACCCCGCGGTTGTCACTGAATCAGACCTGGGGTTGAACTTCTTTCTGGAGGAGGAGAGTCTTGGGAAGTCCAGAGCGGAAGAGACCTGTCGCTTGCTAAGGGAACTGAATCCCGATGTTGAGGGCAGCTTTCGATCAAAGGTACCTATCCCATTTATTTTCGCAAGGACCATCAGGATCTAATCCGTCAATCAGTCAATTACGGAGCTTCTGCAAGAGGACCCTGACTTTCTTCCACAACATAAACTAGTCTTGATATCCGGTCCGATGAAACGATCCTCGCTAAATATACTCTGCAAGGCTGCCAAAGAATACAACATCCCCGTGTTGTATACTCGCTCCGTTGGCTTCTACTCCACTTTCTCCCTACAATTACCAACCTCCTTTCCTATTGTCGAAACCCACCCCGATCCTGAGACTACCCAGGACCTTCGTCTACTCAATCCTTGGCCGGAGCTTACTGAAGCGGCTGCGCGTCTAAGCAACCTTGACAGCTTGGATGACCACCAGCACGGCCATGTACCGTATATCTTATTGCTTCTTCACTACCTCCAGCTGTGGAAAGAATCCCACGGCGGAAGTGCCCCGTCCAACTATAAAGAGAAAACTGAATTTCGGGAGTTGGTTCGATCAAGTGCGAGAACCAACAACCCGGAGGGTGGCGAGGAGAACTACGACGAAGCGGTTGCGGCAGTGTTGAAGTCGCTCAACCCATTCACTCTTCGGAGCTCTCTTCGGGAGATATTTGAAATGGAGGAGTGCAAGTCTCCCAGGCCGGCGTCGGCCAATTTCTGGGTCATCGCTTCTGCGGTGAGCCAATTCTACCAGAAACACCAAGTCCTTCCTCTCCCGGGCTCTTTGCCCGACATGAAAGCGCAATCAGCCGACTATGTCTCCCTCCAGAACATCTACAAGTCGAAGGCGCGGAAGGATGTAGAGGAAGTCACGGATATAGTTCGACAGATCGAGTTACAGATTGGGTCGCATCAGAATCCAATTCCCGAGAAGGAGATTGAGCTTTTCTGCAAGAATGCTGCTCACATCAAAGTCGTCCATGGTCGCGACATTCCCCAAATCGACCGCGATGCACTTTCTCTCAAAACCAGCAGAAATAGTCTGACCATGCCAGACTCTCTGTTTCCTATTTTTGTTGCTTTCCAGGTCCTTGACGCCGTTATCACAGATATCCAGGAAGGAGCTTTGCCGGGCAAGTCGATCGACGATGAAGCCGTATGGAATGCCAAGGTCGATCAGGCCATCGCGGCACTTACTCGGGACGACTCGACGGACATCAACGAGGAAACCCGTGATTCTATAGTAGAGGCTACAAAAGAACTTCGACGGACAGATGGAGGGGAACTACACAATATCTCCTCGCTTACCGGAGGGCTGGTCGCGCAAGAGGCGCTGAAAGTCATTACGAGGCAGTACGGACCTCTGGACAACACCTGCGTGTTTGATGGCGTCCGGAGCCGTAGCGAAATGTATAGACTGTAGCCGCGCTAGGTTCGAAATCTAATGAAATGCCATGACATTCAACCATATCATGTAAAGCATGTGCATAACTAGTGCCGGAGTGACTGATGACTCAGCTATACATGACACGTGCAGATCAGCGGGTCCTGGGGGGATGACGGACTACCCGGCTTACCTGCTCCGTGCTACTTCAACATCTCCGCGACAGGTGGCATGGGGAAGACCGCTGTACTCTGGCCATGACGTCCATGACCGTCTCGTCTTGCACTGCGTCGTCTGCCATGTTTACATGGTAACTCGTCCGACATCTCTCCCTGTCTCTGACCTCGCGACTGATGACCTCCGCCACGCTCTTCCACTGGCGGAACCCCCGACTTACCTCCGGTTGCTTGGAGAGTCCCTAACCCCGTGAGCGCAAACATTCACTACCAGCCATGTCCGGGTCTGGGAGTTTACACCTAGAACCATCTGCTGCGACATCTACCTCCGTGCAGTCTCTCAGCAACTCTACGATTCCGACTGCCGCTTATTCCGTCCTTTCTTCCCTCCCACGCGGATTGCTCACCCGTCCGTTCCGCGGTCTTGACCATTCCGAAAACCTCACTCTTTCGACATTCCCCAAACACATCGCAAGACTGGTAGGGCTACAAGATATGGCCAGTCGTTTTTGGGCCGCATCCGACGTGGCGCCTGAAGCAGATGCCATAGTAGCTGCAACGACCCAGGCGGCTGCCGGTATGGCCGCGGAGGGCGTCGCTAATCCCGCCATGCAAGGGGAAGTCAGCTCGCACTTTACGGAGATCCTTCAGGCAGTCATCAGGTTCAGTGGTTTCTTCTCGTATCTGACCAGTCGCTGGTCGCTGGCTTGTTTTACAGTGGTGCGGACTTCTAACCCAAGACTTAGTACACATTGCTGACATGAGATAGGCCCTTGTGTTGAATAGGATCACCATCTATGCTTCGACCAGACGCCATCTTAACCTTGATTGGCACAGGCGGCTGGCCCTGCGAATTATCCCGATCGTCTTGTTCCTGACTCAGATTCACTCGCTGCTCCGGGCGATTCGTTGTCAGACATCACCGGACTACTCACTCATACGATACGGATCCCCCGGTAAACGCCTTTTATTTGACCATGCTGGTGGAGGAGGATTCTTATATTCACTGGGCTCCACGCTCTTACCCTGGGAGACCGACGAGGAGTCCTGTGCTGCTGTGAGCATGGCACGTCCCGGGAACGCTTCCGAAATTGCATACGGATCATTCTCTCTCCTATGGCCCGTCTTTCTGCGTCTTTGTGTGAGCCATTTTGTGGAAACTCTTTCCTGCGCGCTGCAAGGGCGACCGGTTGTGACTGAAGCGGGCATGTCCATCTTTGAGCACTCGCTTGCATTCGCCGAGGCTGAGTCTACCATTAGCCAGACACTCGGTCTTGGAATGTTTGGTCTACCGAAGCAAAGTCCTGGCAGAGAAGAACCAGGGGACGGCTCTCACTCCACGGCGCAGCTCCTTAGCAAGGCTCAGATCTTGGAACGCATGAACATCTCCCCTGAGCTGCTCCTGATTGCTTTGATCTCGTGTTGCAACAGTCTGACGTCCAACCTTCTGGATGTTTTTGGAAAACAAAGCCGATACCGCTTGCTCAACACTGCTTTCTGGGGACTCTGCTTCATGTCAGCTATGGCATGGGGTATCCTCAGTGGCTCGACTGTGGGGACTGAAAATCTCGTCCTGAAGTTTCCCACGGTTTGTATTGTGGGATTCGTACCCCATCTGGCCATCTTACTAGGGATCTTCACATGCATGACGATCTACGGCGTCGCCCTCATCATCACCGCCTTTTCTTTACCGATGGAGATTACGCAGCCTCTAACCCTCCGAGAAAGACTCGTCCTAGCGCATGAAAATATGCAGGGTTCCTCGCATATCTTCACCACTCGCCTCAATAGACATGACGACTTTTATACCACCCTCCTTCGGATCGGGTACTCCGCCTTGACAGCTGCGAGTGAAGCGGTGTTCCTCAATGAAGGCAAAGGAGTTGTTGCAAGGAACATGACCTGGCTTGAGGAGGACAGACTAGCAGAGATCGAAGCCTCCCGACGGGCTCGTCACCAAAGTTGCGACACTCGGAGTAACGATGTGCCTTTTGGAGGCGAGGAGTCGATGGATTTCGAGCTTCCCAAGGCACCCCTGGAATGGGAGAGTGGGTATGGCCGCGAGAAGAAAATTGAAAAGTCAAGAAATGGGTCGCGAGCTGCCAGGGCGCAGACTGATTCCAGCGGCGTGGGCGCCTTTCGGGGAGCGGTTAGGTGCTACCATGGGTTTGCCTTCTTCCGCAGCATTTTCTATCTTCTTTTTCGATGGTCCGTCTTTGGGCTAGACAGGGCGTTGGACAAGATCGGCATCAATGCCCGGCCGCAATGGTTTAAGACCATTATCGGACCCCGGGCTAGAGCGACTCCGAAGAAAAGCAATGCCCGTCAGGCAGAATCTCTGGATTTCTGGATCCTAACCGAGGATGGCGAGTTGGAGCTCCCGGGCGATCACGAGTTTGATGTAGAGAGGGAGATGCGGAAGCGAGAGGGCTCCAACTCGATGGATTGGGAGCGGACTGACGAGCAGAGACTTGATGAAAAGCTGTACAATTGGTGGAAAGCCGGTGGTTCATGGGGGAATCAGGACCAAAGTCCCGACTACGCTCCGTCAACGGATGATTTTGATGACACGACAAGCGTGATCTCGATGTCCACGACAACCGGCTCCGAGTGGGAAGATGAATCGGACGGCCGTCGCACGCCTACGCGCGAGAATCCGTTCCCGGGAGATTTCTCACGGGAGAGCACGCCTGCACAGGAGACTCTCATGGACATCAGCTCTTTTGCGCGTCTGCTTGATCCTCGTGACCAGGAGAGTCGACAAGAAGCTCGGATATTAGCTGCTCATCTCGCTGCCGGACAGGATGGGCGCATCCTAACCCGACGCCAATACCAGAAGCAGCTTGAACGTGACAGAGCCCAGATCCTTGTGTCATCACGCTTATCCCAAGTCGCCCCGGATGGAGGAAGGCGAAAACCCACTACCGAAGAAGAGAGTGAGATCCTTGAGAAGCTCATTCTTTCGCGACGAGGGGCGACGCCTGGCTCGAGCACCGTCGATGGAACGACCTGGGAATCCGGTGCTTCTGGACTTGGTCCCAGCGGACCGCCGTGTGTTATTTGCCACACGAACCCGCGGTCGATAATTACCTGGCCCTGTCGGTGTCTTTGCGTTTGCGAGGAGTGTCGGGTCAGTCTTGCGATGAACAATTTTGGCAGTTGTGTGACTTGTCGTCAGGAAGTGGGTGGATTTGTCCGGCTCTGGGTGCCTTAGTTTTGCCTTTTTTGTGGCGTTAGCATTAAGGATATACCAATGTACATGTGTAGTAATGGATTGATTGGATTGCTGTACAGTTGACTCTGGTAGCAGCTATAGATGTAGGGTTTGTTTGACGGCTGTTAGATGGCTTTGTTCTGGTGTTGGACATGGACATACTATCGACAATGCGCACGTTAGACTCAGATCTCTTTCACTGATGCATCCAAAGCAGCTGTAGATAATAACAGAATCTTCTCACCAACAGAATCGCCTCCGTGTTTCATCGTGCATTGTTCATCTTCGTCACTTCACATTCCTTCATTGGAAAAACTCTCAACACCCACTTCGCTTCAGCCTTTTCTTATAAAAGGCCATGTGAATCAACTGTGAGCTTGACCACTTTCACAGTTCGTTCCTTTCATCTGCAAGTATCCAACTCACTTGTGAGTACGATAACCTCCTTAACAAACCGTATAGCCACTCACCTACAACAGGATCATACATATCACAATGAGCAGCGTCGAACAAGACGCCATCCCCTCCAACGAAATATCCCCAGACTCAGAGGACGGGGGCGTCCAGCACATCGAGGACATACACGCCGCCGCCGCAGCACCAGGCACAGGCATAACCACACGCCCTGGTCCTGCCCCCATCTCTACTCCCAGAACCAGAACCACCTCCACCACACCCCGTAAGACACCCCAGAATCATCCTTGATAAACTCCCCCAATGACATCAGAAAACCACGACAGACCGCGTCCCAGTCCTCAACACAGCGCTCCTCCCGCACCCGTTCCGCCCGTCAGACCGCGCACGTCTGCTCGCCAACGAAGCTGCTGCAGCTGCAGCCGCAGCCGCATGTCGTCGTCCCATGATCGTCCGCTTGCAAGACATGCATGCCGCGGTGCTGCTCCTCGACCTGCAGATGCAGAGACCGCAGATGCGTTCGCGGGACTCGGGCTACGAGGCGGATGAGTCGAGTAATGATTCTGATGGTGATGGTGATGGGGTGGATTCGGATAGTAGTGAGGATGTGCGTTGCCAGGAGCGACAGAGTGGTGAACGTGAGCGTGGGCGTGAACATGCGCAGGGTGGAGGTCGGGTGGGAGTAGCTGGGGGTGTTCGTCGTGGGGGCGTGCAGACGATGCGTCGTTGCGAGGGTACGGTTCAGGTGGAGGGTGTGAGCAGTTCGGCGACGGTGGAGTGAGGAAGGGATTAAGGAGTAGGGGTAGTTGGGCTTTGCATTTTGCCTGGTGTTGGGGACTAGCCATGGCTTGGTTGTCTAGATGGGCGATGATGTCGTGCAGCGAACTACAGTGGGACTGATGTCTTGTTCCTGGCTGTTAGAGCAGGCATGCTGTACATTTTTACCCCGATTCACCGTTTTTCAGATGAGACATAGGTTTTTACAAGAGGGGAGTAGGTATCATAAGGCCAATAGCGGACTTTCTCATGTTGAAGAGCACGACGCAAGATGAATGTGGCGCAGGAAAGCCATTGTCTCGTCAAAGGCGGGAATACACATACCCACGTCAATCATAGACGATGGCACTACCAGACCCATGCAATTACCCCTCGTGCAGACTGCTTGCTCGGCAAAAGATTGGAAGGATTCATCGCTGGAAACCACTACTAGATGCCTAGCAGTATACGGATTGTCACTAGATTCTATTAATAGGGTAATGGAGCAGCCTACCGTGAAATATATTGGAGACCGTCTAAGTATTGTGCAAACTAGGCCACTATTATATCATATAATAGCGGTCCAGAGATCCTTGTTCCTTTCGGTACACTTATGAACTTCCCGCAAGTGTAGGTGCATCTAGATACAGCAATCTCGAAATCTCTTCAAGTTACCACCGCCACTTGTATACAACTAGCAATTTAATAAAGTATAAGTAGTATATCTATGCATCAACACGTTGGATTTAATATGGCCATAAAGATGGTGAAATGTCAGGGTCCACATGTCTGTTAAATCTGTAGAAGAGACGAGGGCTTGCAACGGATATCCCCGGAGGATGTATGCAAAGATCTATAATTATACCTCAAGCAATGTACATTCGCACTACTGACAGTTATGGTCCCTCAGCCAAGCAAAGAACTCCTTCCGAGGCAGTTTATGCCGAAGGATGAGGTTGACGAGATTGAGAACGCTAAGCTGCGCCTTCTGTTGTCCCCACATGTTTGTCTCAAGATGTTTCACCTTGTCTTGTCCATCAATGTGTCACAGATGTAGAACAGAGGAATTTTCTTTATCTGATGCAGGGTCCAGCTGTTGCTATATCAATACAATTATAATTTGATGGAGGAAACAACTGTGTCGCTGCTCAAAATCATGTATCACTTGGGCGACTCTATAGAGCCTTGATATGAGGCCATGGTTGGTCTTGCCCAGCACACAATAGGCAACCAAGTATAAGACAATGCATCCTTAATGATTCGCTTCAACTGTATCTCGTATAGAGACTTCTAATTATGGAGGTCCCATCATATACTCCAAGTAGCTGATGGAGTATGGTGGTGCATGGGGCTGCAAACCCTGGATCGTGCTCATTACTACTAAGGGCAACTCTATACGAGTACGGTATACAATAGTTGTATGAGCATCGTGCTTTAAAGGTATATAACCAGCCAGTTCACTGGCTAATATGCTGTTCATGTCCCTATTCTCCATTTCGAACAGTAATTCAGACATTCAGACCCAGTCTTCCTACTATGCCGCTCCTTTTTTGCGCTCTCTTCGCCTACTTATACATCAGTAGCTCAGTCTTCTTTGACATCGTCCATTATTTCTTCCATAAATGGTCCACCTCACAATGGAAAGCCCTCCAATGGCTTTCTCGGTGTCACCAGTATCACCATCTCTACTACAACCGGTCCTTGACCTTCAACCGCCGATACCAGCTACAAAATGCCTGGATCGCCCTACCCCTCGAGATGGCCTGCCTAGTCATCGGAGGTCTCCTGGGCTGGTCCCTCCTGCACCTCATGACCCCGAATGCAAAAGACCTCGACCGCACTCCACTAATAGTGGTCCTCGCAGTGCACCTCGTCCGGACACTGGTCGTGATCTGCATGAGCGGCCGCGACTCCAACCACATCGCCTACAAAACAGTCCCCAAAGACCCCCACTGGCTGTTCGTCGGACCCCAGTTCCACGCACTGCACCACCTCGACCCCGACCGCTACATGAGCTCGGTGGTCAAGCTCTTCGACTGGGCAGCAGGCACAGCCTACACCCTGCGCAACAAAAACGTCGCCATCACCGGCGGCTCCGGGGCCTTTGGCACCGCAATCCAGCAGCAGCTCCGCTCCGAAGGAGTCAGACACATACGGGCGTTGAAGTTCGGCACGCACTGGACGCACCATGACTTCAGCCGTGTCGGATCAGCCCTGGACGAGGCCGACATCCTCATCCTGGCCCACGGCACCAAAGGCCCGGACGCCATGGAGGCGAACTGCGGCTCCGCCATCCGTCTGATTGAGCTCTTCATGGAGCGGAGAGGGCGTCGACAAGGCCGCACCGCGAAGACGCTGCCGGAGATCTGGTACGTTGGCAGCGAGAGCGAGCTGCATCCTGCGTTTGGGGGGCCCGCGATGCGGCGGTATGCGGCCTCGAAACGGGCCTTTGTTCCCTATGCCCGCGCTCTGTATGACCATCCGCAGATTGTTTATAGGCATATAGTGCCCGCCGCTTTCGACTCGCCTATGGGTAAGGCGGTTGTTTCGGCGGAGTGGGCGGCGAGCGTCGCGATGTGGTGGATTCGTCGGGGGGCGTGTTATGTCCCTGTTAGTTATACGGGAATCGCTTATTTGAACTTTCTGAAGTTTGTTTGTTGGGTTCGTCCGGACTTGGATAGGGTCGCGCGCATTTAGACAGTCTGATAGTGGGCCTTCAACAATTCTTCTTAACATACGTACAAATGATACATTTTCATGTGTTCTATTCAAACGGATCAATTCCCAAGGGATACTTGTCTTAGTCTCATCATAACCAAGCCACTCTATACCTGTAGATCTGCCAAACACAGGTAACAAATCGATTCGCCTACGATCATTGCTAGCATTGATAAGGAATGTGACACATACTGTGATTAAACCCACCGTCCTTCCATTCCTGTAGAATGCATGATGGGTCATGTAGCCCACCTCTCTCACAACAGTCATCACAAATATAGAGAACCAACCCGAGACAACTAAAGAATGTAGACAGCCGCTGCAGCCGCCACCACAGCCCCAGCAACATTATTCTCCCAGCTCGCCGCAGCTCCCGTGTAGACCGGTCCGCCGCCAGCCGTCGTACCCGTGGCTCCTGCGCCAGTGCTGGTCGGCGGAGCGGATGGATGCGGCGGCATAGGGGACGGGGGCCCCGGGGGAACGGCCGGGGAAGACGGCGGCGGAGGCACAGGTGCCGTGGGGATCGGGGTGGTTTTGGACGGCGAAGGCGAAGGGGAGGGGGTGGTAGCTCCGGTAGGGGCGGCGGTGGTTGTCGCCGCAGCCGTGGTGGTGGGTTTCACCGGGGGCACTGAGATGGGATGGCCGACTTGAGAGCACTGGGACACGACCACATTGGAGACGGCTATATCTGTCAGCTGGGTTGGGTCCCAAGTGGTGGGAGAGCGGATGGATAGGACTGACAGGCCTGTTGGTTGATGTCCGGACAGTTCTGCTGCACGCAGGGCGTGACCGAGCCGACCAGCTGAGGTTTTTGACAGTGGCATGCAAAGTCGGTCAATTGGGAACAGCCATCTTGCGTGAGAGCGGTGACAAAACATTGCAGCTGAGGAGCGTCGGTCAGTTATCTAGACAGGTAGTGGGATTAGGGCACGTACTGCGCACTGAGGGATGTTAGGCAGCTGGCCGTATGCCAGACCGGCCGTGAGGAAGACGGCAATGAGGTGAAGGAGATACATGATGCTGCCGGTGCTGATGCTGTGGGAGAATAGTAGGACTGAGAAACAAGTATTATTATATTTCGCAAACGAGTGTCGTCGTCATGGGGGGTAATGAACGAGCGCGTTGGGTCATGGCGAGGCAATCCGGATCCCACTTCCGGAGACGCATGCCTTCTTATAGCCCAGCATCACCCGATCCTCTGTATCCGGGCACTGGAGGAACCTTATGCCAAAGCTAGAGCTAAATCCAGAGGAGACGACCGGGTGTATCCAATCGGCCACAGCGAAACGAGCGTCTTACGTCCCTGATCAGGCATGTCTTGGTGCTCCTACGTCGCGAGGTGTCGTCTCTGTGTACCTGGCTGACGCAGCTCACGATTACTCCGGGCGCCCACGGTAGGGTGGAAGGGAGTTGCGTAGAGCGCTAGGATGACATGGGACCAATCTGAGGCCTTTGGGCTGGTCACTTGTCGAGGTGAAGGTAACATCGAGTCCCCCTAAATATTCCGACAGGAGGACACTGACGTAGATCGCGGGGAGTCGATGGAACCGCCTGGCGCACGAAGGATAGCCGCAGATGGCGGTATGTTGACGTAGGAGTCGTAAGGAGGGACGGACGATCAAGAAGACATATCCTCTGGGGGGGTGAAAGAAACATCATCCCAGTCTTACATCTACAGCAAGGAGTACCTGGGTAGCAGTGGCACTGTCCATGCATCGAATCCCGTTCTTTGTTGTTGGAGGAGCAGATGTAACCTTGCACAAGAAAGCTGCAGCGGCATGTACCAAGTACATCAGCTGTGCAGTCAATATTAATACGATGGAACGTACTGCATCAATAGGATAGGATCAAACGAATTAGTGGGTATGTACAAGACTTCGAGACGCCTTACTCAAGCATAAAACCAAACGCCGTATATCCTCCAAATCCCCTTCCCTCAAAAAAGTTCAAGACATCAGCTCGTCCACATATGCTCGTTGGTGAGTCGCATTGGATTCTTTCAACAGCACGGCCAGAACCTCGATCGGAGGGTTCAGATTCAACGAATTCGCCCGTCTCCATCGCTTCAGACGGGCGATTCCAATGCATGGCTGCAGAGGTTAGTCCGGCGTCTATGAGGGATCCCCCATGGAGGTGAGCGGCCAAAGAAGGGGAGAACGTACTCCATATTGGCTAGACAGATCAAAATGTCGCAGGATCTTCTCGTCAAGGGAGAGATGCTCGTGGTGAACTACCAACTGGTCAGCGCCCATGCAGCGACGTCACTCACAGCCAACAAACCGGATGGGCTTCTCCGCTTCGATTCTTCGTTCTTCCAATATCGTTGCAAGTCTTTCTCCGTCAGTCGCTTAGCTCTCTGATCCTCCGCGGAGAGCGGTTCTTGGATTTCCGCCTGGGCTTGGTGTCGGACCGCAAGCTCCGCCACATGCGGCTGGGAGGGCTCTGTGGGGGTGACAGGGGACTGTTCCGGTTCGGAGACGCTTTCGAGAGAGGGTTTCTTCGACAAGGCTGCAACAGCGGGCTCCAAGTCTTTGGCTTTCTTGCTTTGCGAGGGGGGAGCGGCAGACGATTTGGTGACTCGCGACTGGCCGCCAAAGGAGAGCGTCGACTGCTGGGAGCGGGCGGCGGTGTTGCCGCCCCGGCGACGAGCAGGAGGCATGTTGGAGGAGCGATGAGGACGGTGGTAGTGGAATCTGTCTCTTGTATAGATAGTATACTTAGGTATCTTGTATAGGTAAAGTGCGGTTGGTCAGAGATGATGCAGGACGATGTCAGGATGAGGTGGAAAAGTGTGGGGAGACTCTGATGACATTCAGCTGTTGACACGGCAACCGGAACCAACCGCGGATCGCATACGCAGTATCAATGCGTATCAATGGAGGGAACCGATTGACTGGGAGCAAAAGCAAAGATTATTTCGAGGTATGTAGCTCATGTGTTCAGGCTCATATGGTTTGCAGGTCCTTATGTTCGAGTCGTCCGTGCATCGAGTGGATCGACGGCCGAAGAGATGATGCTGCATTACCCAATTCGGTAATTGTAGTACCAGACTGCCTGAGATCCACGAGTCTGCTGAACCTGCGATACTTGGGTCATCCGAGTTCTGGAACGAGTGTACTCAGATTATATATAATAGATACCAACGAGGATCAGCATTGTATACTCGGTGCCAGTCAATCCGAATCCCCAAGAATGGTGCCCATGTCGCAAGCGCAGATCGCTGACGGAAGGAGAACGAAGAAGCGAGGCTCTTCTGGCCTTCTTGTCTGCGTCTCCCCCACATCTTCTCCCTTCGCCTTTACCTTCACCTTCTCCTTCTCCCTCTTTTCTCCGATACAACCACATCTTCATTCATTACACAACCCTCCTCCCACCTATCTACCCCTACCGACCATCACTCGCTTCGTCAACTCCCCCTCTCCCCTCAACATCTCCGACCCCCGGCGGCTGCACGGCCCGCTTACCGCACCTGCGCCTATCCTCAGGAACCCCCCGAGGTGCGGCGCATTCAGTCGGGGTGTCGTCAGTCGTCCTCCGTCTTCGGCTCTATGACCTTTTCACGGAGATCAACGTTCTTGCGGTCACATCGTCCCCCGTCTAGCCCCCGAGCGCATCCCTCTCAACCGCTGCCGGCCCATGGTGGTGTGGGCGCAGCCTTCTCAGGATGGCCGCCTTCGTGCGAGTATCAGGCCCGCCAAATGGCAATTTTCTGATCGGTTACCCTGGGATCTCGGCGACCATGGTAAGATTCCCCCGCCGTCCATGTCCGGGCCGAAAGGGAGACCGCTGACTGTCATCCAGCCGCGTATCGAGGGGAAAGTCGAGATCAGACCGAGTGTCGGAGTCACTGCCCCTGTCAACGTCTCCCTCGTTACGATATCCCTCCATCGTCGCGAGACAATCCACCCCTCCGCCGATTCCGTCACCAAGAAGCATCTGGCCCCGCCCCGGAAAGACATCACCGATATTGTGGGCAAGGAGATGCTGCTTTTTCGCTGTCCTGCGGGGCGCGAGTATGAGGAGGTCATCTGTATGGATCTCCCCTTCGTCCTGTTCATTCCTTTTGGTCGCGGAGGTCCAGATGCCTCCCGACGGGTTCCTCCGGCCAGCCTACAACTTCCCAGCCGCACCGCCGAAACATACTATGAAATCGTGGTGATGGTCCAACAGGGGCATTCAGAACAGCGGAAATATGCCTTCCCGGTCCCCATCGCGCGGTACGATACGCTCTCGACCTTTGGGATGTACAACCGCCCCGAGTCGGCGGAACAAGTGTCGGATCACTTGGTCACCCTCGGAATCTCCTTACCACGCTGGTCCTACGGTCCGCTCGACCCCGTCAGCGTCTACGTGAAACTCTCTCCCAACCCGGACTGGCTAAACAAAGCCCGAAAAGTCACCATCAACAAGATCACCATTGGTATTGACGAAGAAATTATATTCAACCATGAGGGCGACGAGCCCCAACGAAAGGTCAAAACGTTGACCAAGCGAACCGAACCCGTCGGGATGAAACTGCCCGCGACGGGCTTTCTCACCAACCTTGGGCTGGTATTCCCAGCAAAAGACATGCGAGATGCAGAAGGAATTCTCCCCAGAGGCAAGGCCGCCTTCCCCATGTATGCGGTCAGCGGGTTCACGACAACGGCAAGTCTCTATAAGATCGAGTATTACTTGACCGTCAAGGTAGCCTTCCTTCAATTTGTAACCAAAAGACCCGTCTAACCGGTGTACAGGCCCATCTAACGTCCGCACGGGATATCCTTATCCGACAGCCAATTGTGGTCTGTCCCTTGGACCACGCGGGATGCAAAGAGGAAATGGAGGCGATCGAACAGGCGGCGCGAGATGCCGTGCATGTGAATCCGGACAATCCCATGCTCCCTCTGCCTTCAATCGTGCGACCCTCCGATCCCCATGCCCTGCGGCACTTGGGCGTAGCCATTGTCGGTAACCAAAAGAAGCCGCTAATCGACTGAGTCAAGACGAAATGTTGGCATATGTTGGACCGTCGACCTTTGGTCGGGGCAACAGGGGGATCTCCGCGCCACAGTCTCCGCTACCTGGGTACCGTCGAGGCGAGCTAGCGACGGTCAATCCCTGCGCGACGGCAGTCAGCCCGCACTGAAAGTGGGATCACTTTCGATTACAGCCTGCACCGCAGAGCATGATCATGTCTTACGAATGCATGGGTTCCGGAGTTTGTTTGTTGCATGGGTTTCAGAGCAGCCTTGTATTTCGTTTCTTTGCTGGCTGGCCGGAGGTATGGGGTGTTTTGGTGCTTAGGCTCTAAGAGGGCATTGTCAGATCCTGCATGATTCCCTATCTGTATGCTGGATTTAATGTGTAAGATGTATTGGTTGATCATAGGCGTAGTCCTGCAATAACTCCTTTGCATCCTTGTCGTTGTTCATTCACCAAGCTCCAGAAACTCCATGGCGACAATTAACGTCTCCGGATCGAGGGTGTTCGACTTGTTGGTATCGATGATGCGCAGACAGTCTTTGAGAATATCCAGGACGGTCTGATATTGCGGAGAGGAAGCGCCAAACGTGTTCAGCGCATTCTGGAGGTTGACATGGATCTGCCTACCGTGAGAAACGAGACATAATCTAGTCATAATGACCTACCTGACCCAACACTGCGTTGTAATCAACATCCTTCTGGACGTTGGACTCCATGGGGATCAATGGCGTGGAGAGGAAGAGAGATGGTGGGGGAGCTGATCCGCGGAAGAAACGCGCCCGATCTGATAAGCTCCGAGAATTTTATCTTTCTTCCTGTTCATCCTCCACTCCTCCTCACCACATCACACCACACCACCCAACTCCCCTATCTACTTCGAAACACAAAATGGCCGACGCAGACGAAGCGGCCGCCAACCTACCGCGCGACCCCGCGGCGCCTGTCGACACCGATCTCTCCGATGAGACGCAGGACTTTCGCATGCTCAACCACCTCTCCTTGTCAGTCCACCTAATCCCACGAGCGCACGCACCCAATCGAGCTAACAATCCTCTCAAACAAACAGCCTCGACACAAGCCAACAGACCATCCCGAAGCGCGGCGAAAAAGACTTCGAACCAAACCCGACCCTCTACCAAGCCGACATTCTCTCCGCCTCGCGCCAGGCCATGCACAATGCGCTCTCCTTCCCACGCCTGCACAACCCCCGCAACCTCGTCGTGGGCATCTACGCGCCCGACGGACCCGCGCCCCCACGCTCGCACACAGCAGCACCGTCCACAGGCGACGACGCGCAGCTGAAAAAGTCCCCCGCGTTGGGCGCCGCCGCCATCCACCCGGCCTCGTGCGTCTACGTGCCCGTCCCCAAGGGCCAGTACTTCAAGAGCATCGGCCAGGCCGACCGCTGGAACCGGATGTGGCTGCTCCCCGAGGAGGCGCTGTATCTGCTCGAGCGCGGCAGTTTGGATATCCGCTGGCCGCGCTCGTTGACGGGGTGTGACCCTGCACCGGAGGGTGAGGATGATGAGGACTCTGGCATCCCGATGAGCTTGCAGGCGGCGTACGCGGCGTTTATTGGGCACGGGGGGCTGACTGTCGAGCGGTACTCGGTGTACGCTGGGCTACGGCGGTTGGGGTATACGCTTGTTCGGGCGCCGGGGTGGGCTGATGAGGAGGACGAGGAGGACAGTGCTGCAGATGCGGAGAGACCGCAGACGCAGACGCAGACGCGGGGGCCCGGGCTAGCGGGCGTCCTGGAGCGGTTTATGCGGTGGTTCCATAGCCCGCCGACGACGGCTGTCGGTCCTGTGGCCGGAGTGGGTATCCATCGGAGTTACAGTAAGTTTGACCAGCGGGAGCGCCCGTACAGTAGCTAACAGTTGTAGATGACATCTACCGCAAACTATCGATCATCCCGTGGTACGACCCGGTAACAGATCGACCTGCGTCCGTACGCACCACCCCGCCGTATCGCGTCGTGCTCCATGTGTACAAGCCGTCGACGGCATTCCGCAAAACCGCGCCCCCGGAGCCGGACTTCAGGGTCGCGGTGATCAATGCCCGCACACACACCACCATGCCGACTCTGGCGCAGATCGGGTCTCTTCTGGATAGCACGCCGTTGGATCCGCCGACAGGCGACAAGATGGACCGCATGCTCTACCTGCGTTTGCGGCAGGGGTATCGCAATATTATCCTGGCTGTTGTGGACCAGGGTGTTGTGAGCTATCTCCGCGTTGCGGATGCGGCGTTTGGAAAGGAGAAGATATATCTGACCAAGGGGCTGGCTAATAAAAGGGGTGGGTTTTCGCCGAAGCCGAAGGGTTGATCTGTGGCCAGGTTCGGTTGAAATGGACGCTATTATCAACTGGCACAAGGGCTTGTCAGCCCATGAGGATCTTAGGGACTCTCTGAATGCCATGCCATCAGACATGCAGGCAACCACACCGTCGGTGATGAAGCTTGAGACTTAGACTGATGAACAGTCAATCCAGTCCAGAACGGGAAGTCCAAGCCACCAGCATGTATAGAGATACCCTGCATAGACATACACAGAAACAGGATGTCTGTGCTGCAAGAATGGATCCATACTTCCCATGTCCGTGTGAACTACTCTGGCTATACAATTGGATGACAACGCCTATAATATATGATTGACATTGAATTGCAAGCTCACACACCATAACAGCCATGTATCAGCATGTCTCCCCTGGAATAAGGCCCTATCATCCACATTCAGGAGAAGGACTGAATAGAAGGGACATCTGCCTGATCTGCCATCATCTTTAGAACGTCCAACCATGGGCAAGACTGGACATTAGATGCTCAGATGGCGGCATACGTAGCGTAGGTACATGCCAGTAACATATACCGTGAATGGGTGTAGTTATAAAGGTAATTCTAGGATTCAACAAACGCCTAACCTGACCTGTAACCCAGTCTATGCAACATGCCCCAACGCCATTCAACCGTGATGCAGCCATCCCATAGTCATCAATCATAAACCCAGAACCTAGAACACAGTCAGCCCGCACAAGATCCAACAATGATACACGCACCCACCTATCCATCACGTATCAAGGTAATCCGCCGCCATCAGCAACTCCAGACACAGCTCCGGGGGGATATCCATGTCCGGCACGTTGGTCTGGTCTTTGTTCTTCTCGTTGTAGCAGAAATACTCGCACACCTTTTCGAGAACGACGCCGCTGATGTTTTCCAAGACGCAGCGGCCTGTCAATGCTTCGGCGAATTTGCCTAGAGCGCGTTAGTAACGGTTCTGAGCGCGACGACTCGCAGTGGATTGGACTCACTCGACGGGTCCAGCATGCGACGAATTGTCCCGGACACGCAGGCTGTGCTGCGCGGGAGGACGAATTCGAAGCCATCGCCTGATACTAGCGTGACGAATTCGGAGGGCGTTGGTGGTGACATGGTGAGGAGTGGTGGTAGCAATGGAGTCGAAGTGAAAGACGGAAGGGAAGCGAAGGGAAAAGAGGAGATCCGCGTCTGGTGGTCCGTGCTTCAACTGCTTATTTCATGCCGATGACATGCTCCATAGTTAACTACTCCATACTTCCTCCCCATTACTATACATCCTACAATAGAACCCAAGATTCAATGTCAGTAAGGTAAGACTCATGCTTAATTGAACATCTACTAACCTCTTGCAGACAATACCCTGATGGAACAACAACAATCATACCCATCATGAACCACATATACATATCCCGTCTGCGGACAGCATCACGATCACTACAATCACTCTTCTCTCTCAGTCCATACACACCCATACCCAAGGTGCAGCCATGCAGACCCTTCACATCCACCCCAAAAACCCCGCGCCTCTCCGATAGAACCTGCCTAATCACCGGCGGCACGTCCGGCATCGGCCTCGCCATCGCCCAGCGCTTCCTCCAAGAAGGCGCCCGCCGCGTGATCCTCGTCGGACGCTCGCACGAGCGTCTCGTCCGCGCCGCATCAACCCTCGACCCTTCTCTCCCCGACACAGCATCCTCCCCTCCCTCCCCAGGGACCGTCCTCACCGCATCAGACCGCATCAGCCTCCTCATCGGCGACGTCTCCGACGCCAGCGCCTGGCAGCGCGACCTCGAAAAGGCCCTGGTACGTCCACTCCCCCACGCGCATCCATAGCAAACCTCCGATGACTCTTAACTGACCCCACAGCAACCGGTGGACATCCTGGTCAACGCAGCCGGCATCACCGGCTCAACCATCCTCCCCCGGACCGAGCCCGCAGAGATCGCGCAGATCCTGCGGACGAACCTTGAAGGCGCGCTGCTCACCTCGCGCGCGTTCCTGCGCGCCGCCATCCGCAGCCGTGTCCGGAACCGGGGCGGCGCCGCGGACGCTACGGACGCGCCTGCGTCGAAATGCATCATCAACATCTCGTCGCTATTAGCGGCCAAGGGCGGGACGGGCGCGGTGCCGTACGCGGCGTCCAAGGCTGGGCTGCTGGGTCTTACGCGGTCTGTGGCTGTCGAGGCGGGTGCGTCGTTGCGCGATGTGGTGGTTCGCTCGAATGTGATTTTGCCGGGGTATATTGAGACGCCTATGATTGCAGGTATGTTCCGTGGCATGGCTGGGACGGGTTGGATAGGATGGTTGCGCTAATCGCTGGTAGACTTTAGTGAGGGTGAAACCGCCCGTCTCAAGAACAGTATCCCCCTTGGGCGGTTTGGGAGTCCGTCGGAGGTTGCAGATGCGGCCGTTTTCCTGGCTGAGAATGAATATGCGAACAATTGTGTGCTGAACCTTGATGGTGGTCTCAGCGCCGTATGATCACGAGGTGTGTAAGATAAGTCTTTAATGGAGTGTGCTCTAACTTTCTGCTCCATCTATCATGTATACTATCTCGAGTAGAGGATGGGTGTACACAGAGTTGTCATATTCTAAATAGCGCCGAGTGGCCAACGCTTCCAATTGCTATGCTACATGTAAGAATTGCTCTTCCCAAATCCACGGCGCCATCTATCGAGATATCGTTCAATCGTCATCAATCAAAATCGCGCCCCCATCAGCCTCATCCAAGACGATGGGATGGGAATCATCGCCTTCGGCCACCGAAACGCTGGCGACCCGCTTGACACGGCCGTTCTCTGCCGGAGCCTCATCGGCGCCGCGTTTTCTTTTCCCGGTCCCAGCAGTGCCATTGGTCTGTTCTTCAGTCGGGGCTGGTGCTTTTGGCTTGCGAGGGATCTCGGGAACTTTTTCGAAGCGCACGGGCTTCTGTTCTTCGCCAGAGGGCTCGTCAGACCTAGTTATCTGTTAGTATGCCACGTTGATGCAATCAGAGAACCACATTACCTTTCGGCGAGAACAAGAAGTTGGATATTCACCCGTGGTTCATCGTCCTCTTCGTCGACCACCGTGATGAATCCTTCGTTCTGGACCCCAAGATCACCTAGCTTTTTGGGCAAGTTGTCCTCGAGATCAGGGTCATAAAACGTCCCCAGATCGTTACTTAGAGAGAATTCTTCGCCATAGCCCAACTCCGACTGCAGGGTCTCCACCAAGTCTTTGACAGTGGCATGCTCCAGATCGGTTTTGGTTCGGATATGGACCACGGAACACACTGGACAGTTCGGATTGGGGGGATTGAGAGCATCTGAGTTGATCGCGCGGGCGCTTGAGCGTTCAAGGAATACCTACAGAGCATTAATATGAGGTCACGAGAGAGTTGAGAGTCACATACCATCTTTGCGTGAGCATAGTCGTCTTTTAAGACCTTATACGCTTGCAGAACACAGAGACCAGCAGTCATGGCATTCGACGTAGCAATCGCCGGGATAATGTTGCCAGCCATCTCTGTCGCAAGTTAGCCGAGCGGTTCCTATGCTGGTAGCGTTTGGGGACTTGCGTTTTGTATCAAATTTGGACTTAGGATCGATAGAGAAAATCGTAGCCCGCAGATTGGCGCTTGCCGTGACGAAATCCAAAGTATCAACATCATCCTTATCAAAGACGAGGATGGGTTTGACGCCATCATTTGTTATGTCTTGGAGCGTCTTCAACCGTTTGCTCAGCCGATCCAAGCTGTGATGCATGTCAGCAAAGCACTCAGCAGCGGAAATGCAGAGGCCAATCCATACCTGTCTTTGAAAACGACAAAATCTTCGGACAGTGTCCAAACTTTCTGGTCGTTGCACGATATCGTGGTCTCGGTCCCGGACGATTCTTCCTCGAGCTTTTGATAGTCTAAAGGTTCTGGGCGCTTTCGGCTCTTCCACATGTCTTCCATTCCACGTAGTCGTTCAATATCTTCCTTGAATACTTTCTGGAACACCTTTTGGGCGAACTCGGGGGAGCCCATCGATTGTCGGATCTCCTTGAGAGCCTGGGCCTCTTTGCGGAGGTTTGCGATTTCTTCGGCTGGACAGAGTCAGCGGGTTGGAAGTTCGAGATCATGGGGATAAATCATCGTACAGTTCTCTGAATCCTCCGAATGATCAAGATCCTCGGTCTCATCCTCGCTCGTCCCGAACAGTTCCCTGTGGCATGTTAGTGCCGCTGGTTTAAAGTCAAAGATCGACTCACGGGAAAAGATAGCTTTTAGCCCAGACAATGCAGTGGATGGGCTGGCTGGGAGTACTGCGGATCGTGCAAACAGGGAATGACTTCGGAACCTCCTTTGGGTTGCAGTCGTAGCACTCCGTTTTGCCCTGGTATGAATGAGCAACGGCAAGCAACAGTAACGTAAGATGACAACCGCACCTTCTTGATGACCTGCACTTGGCCATTGAAACCGGTCGTGCCACTTTCAATCAAGGGCACATCCGCAGCCAAGCACATTTTGTTCACATGACGACGCGCATCGAGATTATCCAGGGCGTTGAATACGACATCAAATTTGGAAAACCAGTCCACGTTGAATTGGGAGTCTTTGATGTTCGCATGGTAGGCTTCGAGCTTTGCGCCAGGTTGGAATTTGTGGGCCACCTCTTTCGCGACCTATGTCGGACAGACAAATTGTCAGCAAGATGGACGATGGAGGAGCCGAGTAGATGACGCGACGAAGGAAATTGCGATGAAAGAGCGCGATACGGATAAGAGGAACGCACCAATGCCTTGGATTTCTTGATATGTTCGAAACGAAAAAGGAACTGGCGATTGAGATTGCTGAGGTCGATCGTGTCCAGATCGATAATGTGGATTTCACCAAAGCCGGACAGAAGGAGATCCTTCAGCAACTCGCAGCCGATGCCCCCAGCCCCGACGAGGAGCACTCGCGACTAAGTCAGAAAAGGCCGTTAGCCATGCGATGGAATTGTGGGATGGGATGGTACCTCGCGAATGCGACGGGAGAGGGTGCCAAGTGAGCGCTTGAGGTAGGTGTCGCGAGGCATGACGGATTGCGATGGGCGGAAGGGAGAGAACGGGAATCAGTAGGAAGAGGTGAGAGGCATTCCCGATTGCCCCGCAAGCTGAGATGCGAATTGACGCGCGAGAGGGGAGGGAGGAAGGAAGAGGAGGGAGAAGTGGAGAGAGGTGAGGTGAGAGAGGTCAGAGGGAAGAAGCCCGCCGGAGGTGAAAGCGGAAAGTCGCTTCTGCAATGACGACAGCGGGTCTTGCTTATACGGAGTACGGCGTATTCGCTGATCGTCTACAACATCGCCTCCGTTATTTCTTTCAATTGTGAAGACGGTGACTACAAAGAAAGACGACCTTTATATGTCAGAGAGATTGCGATAGGCCGGTTTCGCACAGTACATCCAGTGTACCACTACCACTACTCCTAGGGGGTACTACTAGGTACTCATCGTCTGCTCGTGTGTCTGCTGCATTCCTCCCCGCCCATCGTCCCTTTCACCCCTCTGGTTCTCCGTCCCTCCAGTTGGCCTTCCAAAGCTAAATGTGCGGCGACAATGCAGGTATCCATGGGAGTTATCGGTTGGATCATGCTGCAGCGTCGGGTTCAGGCTGTTTTCTCCCGATCGACGGTTATCAACCGGCCATTCCAGTCAATTTCCCTGGAATCCGATTTCGGTTGGATTCGGACACATGAAGTATCTCGCCTGTCCGTAAAATGGATCTGATAGTGTACCTAGGTACAAATATCACTGCGATCTATGACTGAATCTCGATCGGTTGCATGAATACCCTCGTACGGCTCTGGACTGCAGGATTGAGCCTGACAGTGATACTCCGGACGTGATGGACGATGGACATACCAGACATGCAAGGGCCACACTGGAATTCTGGACCGTTTGATTGGGCTCATTTCCAGGACCAGATTTGCATACGGAGGACTCATGGTGATGATGATGAGTCAACCATTTGAACCGATTGTGCCCCTTGCTTATCTAACACTGCTATCGCCAAAGGAAAAAAAAAAAATGTTAACGACAATAACGATAATAATACTGATCATTAAAACGGCATTTTGACATCGAACTGTCCAATTGTCAAAACTCATTCTCTCGGAAGAAGAATCCTCTCGGACCCTCCTGTCTCAGACCCTTTGCCACCAAAACACCAAAAAGGTACCCGACCAGACTAGTAGTTTCACACGATCATCTCCAGTTCTTTGGGTCAACTACAAACGGTTCTTGTTGGTGCCTGTCGTGGAGAATCTCCGTGGCGCTAAACAGGTCCCATTCTTTCTCCTTTTTCATATTTCTTAATTTTCGTCTTTTTTTACTTGGATTGTTAAATATTCGTCCGATACCCAGGCCTCTCTTTTCTCTTTCTCCCTCCTCTCTCCCCCCAATTGACCCGAATTTGCTGTCTCCCTCCAGCATCGAATCCGCCATGTCGGACGACGAAGCGGATCCCGAACTGCTCGCCCTCCTTCGCAAATCTCTGGGTTTGGGCGGGGGAGCCGCAAATCCGCACACCGCAGAGACCAAGGTTTTGGAGAACTCACAGTACGTGTTCGACAATGCCATCGACGTCGCCCTGAGTCCGGTCCACGTCAAAGACGCCGCCGATAAGATATGGCGCAATATGCAAAAGAAGCGTTATTCCACTCAATCCTGGGCCGACCATGAATTGCACCCGCAATCCAAGGACGAGTCCACTGTCGACTTCATCTTCACTATGGACCTGCTCAATTTCAGCTTCTGGTCTGAGCTACCCGACGACAAGCGCTTCGCTATTGAGTATCGCGGGAAGAGATGGACCGGGTATTGGAGTCTGGTGGCCGCCTTGCAGAGAGCTCTCGATGACGGTATGTCCCTGATTCGATCACCCTTCTGGCTCTAAATACTGAGACCAACAGGCATCCCAATTACAACCCCCGAATTCTGGACCAAAGAGGACGAATGCACCGAGGCCCTGCTCAAACACGTCTTCCGATCCGCCACGGAAGAGGAGATCCCCCTCCTTTCAGGAACGGCTGCAATGTCTGCGGGAAGCAGGCTGGGTTCTATGCAAGGTACGCTCGCCTGTTAAGTGTCCGTGCGGCACCACACAGAAAGGTCTAACCAAGCAATCCTCGCAGGATTTCGACGGCAGCTTTCTAAACTGCATCTATGATGCCAACTACTCCGCCGCCGCCCTGGTCAACCTTCTGACCGAGAATTTCTCCTGTTTCCGGGACGAGACGAGCTTCGAGGGCCGGCGGGTGCGCTTCTACAAGCGCGCGCAAATTTTGATCGCGGACTTGTGGGCCTGCTTCAATGGCCAGAGCTTTGGGGAATTCCGCGATATCGACAAAATCACCATGTTCGCAGGTATGGTGTGCTCCTTTCTCCCAATGCAGCTTAGCCCGGCGTCCTTTGAGACTAGCGTCTAACTTTTCCCCAGACTATCGGATCCCCCAAGCTCTCCATCAGTTGGGCTGTCTGAAGTACTCTCCTCCGCTGGAAAGCCACATCCGCCAGCGCAAACTAATCCCCAGCGGCTCGACCTGGGAAACTGAAATCCGCGCGACCAGCATCTGGTGCGTGGAATTGATCCGCCAGGCAATCGAGCGCCAGTATCCAGAGGCTAGGGCGATGTTCCAACCTACCAAATCGCCGAAACCTGCGGACAATCACCATACGAATGGATACGTGGACGCGGCGCATCTGGACGCACACAAGAAGTGCACGACGCAGAAACACTGGAAGCAAAAGAGTGTGAACGAACCCACCGCTTCGGGCGTGAACGCCATCCTGATCGATTTCTTCTTATACGACACGATGAAGGAACTCGAGCTAAAGCAGGAAGAGTCGATCCCCCACCATCGCACTCGAAGTATATGGTATTAGAAGGTATCTTGTTTTTAGACGCGGTGATCTGTCTTTCTTGGCTGCTATATACCCCTGTTTTCGCTGGAGGTGGACGTGGTTCTTTTGATTTTGGATCGGTATAGACCTTTGCCGTCTTGCTTTCTTTGCGCTGGCAGCACAGATGATCCCTCGATGGGATGGTCAATTTACACATCACCTTCGTTTACGACATCCTCTTAGATGATTAGACCAAGAAAATCAATGACAATAGACTATGCATGGATAGCAAAGCTACTTGTTATAGTACAGGGTATCACGGTCTTGGTGAGCTAGTGCCGACTCTCCTGGCACATCACACATCACGCAGCCTTCTCCATCTGCGCGATTCGCGCCATTATATCTCCCTTCCACTCAATGTAATCCTCTCGTCGGTCATCACTCAACCAATCAACACGGTCCTGCATCATCGTCCCAAGCCCCGGAAGAAGACCCTTCCTCGTCGACCGCGCAAACAAAGACCCCGTCTTCAGCCGTTTATTCCGACCACCATCGTACTCCTCCTCATCCGCCCCATCACCCGAGAGATACGCATCCTCACCGTCGAGCTCTCCCGCGCGGGGAATATTCTCGAACCACTCTTTCCCATTCGCCCAGTTCTGCTCCATGATCAGCGCAATCCACTGGTCGACGTCGTCGCGGTGCCGTCGCTCGGTGGACGGGAGGCCGACACTGACAAGCGCGGTCTGGCGCATCTCCGCAAAGGTCTTCTTGTCCAGTTTCCGGGGCTCGCCGTCCGCCTCCGAGGCCGGGCTGCGTCGGCGCGCAAGGGCAAGGAAGTAGACAGCCACGACCAAGGCGTTGACGAGCTCCTTGAAGTCTTCGTCGTTTTCCGGGTCTTTCGCCGTCGTCACCGGTTCGAGAAACTCCAGCAGCTCCTCGTCTAGGTCCTCGTCGCCATTGGTAGCCGCCCCGGAGATGAAGTACAGGACGGATGATACGCCGGCGAAGATGTGAGGGGGCAGGGTGCGCGATATCGGTGGTCGGGACCATTCGTTCGTCCGAGGGGCGGGAGTCGAGAGGGTCTTGCAGACATTCCGGATGGAGACCATCACCCACGCTGGAGCATCGGGGATGATCGTGGAGGTTGAAAGACCATTTGGACGGATGTAGGTGGGTTTCTGGGGCGTCTGAGATCGGGAGTGGGTAGGATGGATGGTTGAGGTCGTTTTTAATGGGGTTGGTTTGGTGGGTGTGTTCTGTAGCCCTCGGGGAGTGGCCGCTGCTGTCTTTGAAGGGGTCCGTGTAATCCTCGCGTCCTTTGTCGGTGTTGCTGGCCCAGAGGCGGATCGCGACGGTGTTCCCGGTGTCGATAAGCTTCCTGAACGTCTTGGTCCTGCGATGCTCGTCGAAAGAGACCGATCAAGGAACGCGTATAGCTTTTTGTAGACACGAGGCGGGCATGGCGGGTGGCCCATCAGAGGGGGGAGCTTCAGTGTTCGAGTAAGTCTGTAGGTTGAACCAGTCTGTCAGTGTTGTTCTTCGACAGAACAGGTTGCATGAGTGGCACACCTCTTGCACGCAATTTCAGCGCAGGCATATGGCCGCGCGATCTCTTCTTCTGGCTTCAGACTCGCCGAAAAACTCCGCGACTGTGCCACAAGAGAGAGCGAAAGGCTGACGAGGTCTGAAGGGAGATCATTGGCATGGGTCGGCAGCAATGTAGCCAGTGCCTGCTCCACAGGTCTGTTGTTCATTCTGTTGTATGGGTTCGATCAAGGCGGCGAGATACGTCGGTGTGCTGTGTAAGGTGTTGGATACGGTGTTTCAAGAATGGCAATGATGAGAGACTCAAACCGAAGTCTACTACTTTATTGCATGTTCCCTGTTCGAAAATCCACAACGATTGTTGTTGTTCCAGGCGCATCAATCATCGCATGCCGTTGTCTATCGGAGAGATCACATGACTCCTCCGGCAGGTCAAAGTCTCGATAAGCTTCGGATTTATTCCTCTACAATCGCATCCAACAGCAGCTAACATGTCTGTCACGGTACGTTTGAGATTCCTCCTAAGATCGCTTCTTGTGAATCTCTACTCACTCTATCCACCTTCAGCTACACACCACGCAAGGCGACCTCAAAGTCGAACTGTTCTGCGAAGCAGTCCCGCGGACTGTCGAGGTACGATCTTACGCAACCTCCTCGTCCACGTAGATCCAAGCTAATACAGCGATAGAACTTCCTCGCCCTCTGCGCATGCGGCGCATACAATAACACGCCCTTCCACCGGTTGATACCCGGCTTCATGATCCAGGGCGGCGACATCTCCCTCGGCCCAGCCGCGTCGCCCGCCCCCGACAGCACGAAACCCATGCTTCCGTTCGACGACATCCCCAAGGGCGGCACGTCGATCAACCACCCCGCGGCCCTGAACCAGGAAATCCACCTCCCCGCCCTCCGACACAACACCCGCGGCATGCTCTCGATGGCGGCGCGGCCGGTCAAGGACCCCACTGCACCCGGCTCGCAGGGCGCGACGGGGCCGACGATTAACGGGAGTCAATTCTTTATTACGTTTGCGGCGGCGCCGCATCTTGATGGGAATAGCACGGTGTTTGGGAAGGTGCTGAACCTGACCGCGCAGGATGAGGGTGGGGATGTTTTGACGAAGTTGGAGAAGGCGAATGTCAAGGTCGATAAGAAGGGGAGGGTTGTTCAGCCGAAAGAAGGCGAGGAGTCCGAATATGAGCCGCTGCGCATCAATTCGGTCACGATACATGCCAATCCTCTTGCGAAGTGAGGGTCTTCCTTTGGAGCGACGTTAGATTGCATATTGTCGCTACTTTCAAGACGCCATACGCCGCGTGTCGACCGACGGGGGCTTGTAATGCCCCTGTAGGTCGACGCCTCGGTTTCCTGGAAACCTCATCCTCATATCCGCAATAAAGTCGAGGAGTCTTCGGTATGGCCCAGGACCTTCCGACGACCTGCGGAATATTCCACAGGCTAGTCTGTCCACGGCAACTACCTACGCAGGAGAACCAGTCAAAGGACGCGCCCTTTCACTCCATTATGGGTCACTACTGTGCCGTGGATTCTACGCGAGCCTCTTCCAATACGGTCGAACAATAGCATAGTGTTGCAATGTAATGCGTCATAATCATTCATCTCTCAAACTTTTCTATACCGCCCGCATAAGTGAAGATATCCCAAACTCGAAGCCAATATAAATATGTATGCACAGAACCTGAAAATGTTTAGAAAAAAGAGATATCATGCACATCATCAAAACCAGAGGACATTATGGGTATATCGATCATGACTTCTGCTCAGCGTCTTCGGTCTTCTCCGCATCTTCCTCGTATCCTTCAACCTTCATGTCCTTCAATCCCAGCTCTTCTTCCTCCTCATCCGTGCGGGTGTATTCTTCGATCGTGATCTGGTGGTCGGGGGCAGGCGCACACAGGTCCTGGACGTAGCTGTTGGCCATGGGGTCTTCCAGGGTGATGACGAACTTCAGCTCGCCGTTGATCGCCTGATCCAGACGGTTGAAGAAGCGAGTCCACTTCTCCTTGTCGGAGGTCGCCATGCTGTCACCACCGCTGCCGGTCGTGTCGTCAATGTCGAAGATCTGGCCGTGCAGCTGGTCGCGGATCTCCGTCAACAGACCCTCGACGGTGGTGAAGCGTCCGCCCAGGGTACCCGGCTGCACGGTGACCTCCAGCTCGTCGCTGTGCAGCGCGCAGGTGTCGGACTTGAGGATATCACGCGACAGATCGACCTCGTTCTCCACCTTGAGGGTAATCCGCTTGCCCTTCTCGGGCACTTCGCCGCCGGTCTTGACGTCGCTGGTCCGGTAGCCGCAGTGCTCGCAGGCGGTACTCCAGATGATGACTTCCTTGAAGTACGGAATGTTGACCTTCTTCATGTTGACGAAGCACGGCTTCGTGCAGCCAGGGCACTCGGAGGGCAGACTGTACACCTGGCCATCGACAATGTCCACATCGTCCAGGTCGACGCCACCTTCGTTCTGGACGGCATTAGGATCGGCGGCGATACCCAGCGCTTCGTTCTGCTCATGGGTGCGCGGGTAGTCCTGGCGCTTGTACTTGTGGGCTGAGTCCTCGGTGGTCGGCGCGATCCAGGAGTTTCCGGTTGGGTCGTCCAGGGAAACGGTGAACGGGTAGCCTTCTCTGTCGAGCATTTTCTTCAGCTTTTCGATGATGGGTTCGAGGGCGTCGTGGAGCTCGGGGGCCTGAGTCTTGCGCAGGGGCTGTTCGCTCGAGAGCGATTCGTAGATCCTCTGAATGACTCCCTCCACGGTGGTGAGCTGGCTATCACCCTTGGGCATCTCAATGCCCAGAGATTCCACCTTGAAGATCGAGGTGTCGCTGCGAATCACCTGGCGCTGCATATCGGTCTCATTCTCCACGTCGAGGGTGTACTTGGCACCTTTTTCCTGAATCTGACCGGCAGATTTGACCGAGTTGTCTTTGAAGTGGCAGTGTTCGCATTCGAAGGATTCAAGAATAATGTCGCGGAAGAAGGGAACGCGCAGGAGAAGAAGTCGGGTGGTTCCCTTTGGTAGGTGTTAGTATTCCCCAACGGTCCCCCAATGATAATAAGAAACGTACATTTTCATGACAGTTCATGCACAGACTCTCCAGCTGCATCACACCGGTGTCCTCATCCCGCTCAACCAAGTCGCCGGGTTTCTGAAATTGGGGTGCCTCAACGGGCTTGTCCTCTGTCGACATCTTGTTCGGATCGTGAACAAATCTAGTATAGAACGTCTAGAATAGGAGAGGATGAAAAGGAATCTAATAATCAAATGGGCAGAGCTCGATGACAGAGAGATTGAAAAGCTCCTTTATGAACAAGGAAAAAATAGCCAGCAACGGCGGGAAAGTTCCTTTGCCTTCCACTATCGCGTGGCGGGGCAATTTTTTTTCTGCACTTGGTTGGAGGGGTAGCCCCATTAGTCAGCTATTCCCCGCATAACTAACCACCCTTTACAAATACAAATACAGGATAACTATGCACCGCAAATGACTCCAATCCTTGGTGCATGGCCTAATTTGAGAAGAGACAGTACGGAGTACATCCTCAATGGCACACATAACATTCGTGGTTCTCTGCACAACCATCCTCATTTGACCTACGACGGCAGGCAGTCAGCTCTTTTCTTTCGCGACATGGCAGGGGTGACTTATAGGAAAAAAAGAGGCCGTTTCCTCAAGGAGGAAACGGCGGTTCGAGGCATATGCCAACTCTGAAACGTTCAGTCCCCAAGCCGCAAGGCTAGCACAAATGCTCCGATGCAGGCGCGAGCCCTGGAAACCATGCAACAGCGCCTAGCACTTCAGCCCAAGTACGTTCTCTTCGCTACTCATCCAACCGATCCGTGAACGATGCGTATTGCTTGCCTCAAAGTGGTAAGAAGTACCCCGATGACGAGGCAATGCGGACAAGCCTGGGCTTTGATCCTCCCGTTCGGGAGTCCCACAATATACCCCTCATCGAACATATTCTAGAGCCCAACAGAGAAAACAACAATGTCATCAATCAACCGAGTGGACAGTAAATGGATCTCTGCAGCGGAGGGGAGAACCACCTGTGTCTGGCATCCGTTACGCAAATTGCTGATTCCGAGAGAAATTGCGCATCCTGCACAAGGCGTGTGTTTCAGGTAACCATGGGATACAGACTGACCGGCCAGAATAGCTAGCATAGCTCCGAACGCGACAAGCTGCATCGATCGAGGCCTCACAATATGCAAGGTGGAAGATTTCCGAATGCTTCTACCTTCTCGGTTCAGACGGCCTGGACCAAGCGTTCCATCTCCTCACGGCCCGTCCAATGTGCCGATCTTGTAACATGACGATCCACAAGCGCAAAGCCTTCACCTCTCGTGTGTGGTACAGTGCCCCCCGGGACAAGTCTTTGTTTCCTCTCCGCGTGGTTCGGAGGGCATTGAGAAACGGACAAATAACATCCATAAAAAACCGCTTCCTTCTCCCCGTAAGGAGGGCAATGATAAGAATATCATTGCAGTTGTCGGCGCCCATCGATCTATTCGCAATCGTGCATTGCAAAGAGACGGTTGACGCGGTCGATCAGGATCCCTGAAAAGGGCGCAAGCCTGTGGCTGGTGCCGCGGCTTGCGGGTCTGCTAGCCTCCACTTGGAATGAATCACGAGGGGTCCAGAGTTGGAGAGAAGGTACGAGTACCCAGGCTACTCGAGGTAGGAAACATGTGCGGGAATGTCGACGTTGGTAATTGGGATGGGGATGACAGTGGCTGGTTCACAAGTGAGACCATTGCACAGAACACGATGATAATAACTGGAACGAGACAACAGGCCAGGGAATCGGCGGTATCACGGGCTGTAATAACCACCAGGAATCACTCCGCAGGACATATCGAAGAGCCTCGCTGCAGATTAATGTCATCAAAAGGACCTGGATACCTTCCGATAAATTAACCTGATTCCGACGAGCGGACTCTATCAATAATCCAGCTTCATGACCGAGCGTAGGCACAAGTCCAGCGACCAACTGTTGTGTTCAAAGGCTTATCATGTGGCGCGCAATGGTCCCGCTAACAGTTCACGTCTCCCGTAGAAATCCCAGCGATATTACCGTCACGAAACCCAAAGACGGCCTCATCCCGGAGGCGTCCGACATGTTCCACATTCTCTCGCTCTTGGACATCCCCTAGCATTCAAGCATAGACAGATCATCCTCTGTGACCGGCATGTAACGCCCAGCATTGGTAAACCGACGCGTGCTCCTTTCAGAGGCTTGAACGCATGGTAAACCGTCTTTTGTTGTCCGTAGGACTCTGGACATCGGGTACTCTTCATTCTTTCGAGTCCTGAACGGATCGACGGAACTAATCAGTACTCCCGCCATGCTCGGACCGCGAAGCTCGTGCGATAGTGTGGCACATAACCGACCCAGGTTATTCTTAGGGTTAGATTCCCCATTCCACCACGCGCTCTAGATCTATGGTTTGATGAAAGCTTACGCCTTCATGGAACTATAAAAATCCCAGAGGCGGCACTGAGGCAAAGGAGGAAAGTCGGGAAGCTAGAAAGGGGACAAACTCTGTACAGTTGCTGCGACTGCGAGCAGAGAGGGCAAGGCAAAGCGGTCAGTGGACGGCAGGTACAATCATGGAGGAAGTGAGAGTCAATGGAAGCTCTGCGGCACAGGTGTCAAATTTGAGCGAGAGGCCAAAACAGTCTGGAAATCGGGTCAAGCACGAATGGTCTGAGGTCGACTGACAGAGCGCCGCTGGTGTGGAAGACGGAAGATCCCTGGGGGGTAAACAAGACGGTCCTTTCAACTGAAGGGAGGCTGGGCGCGACGCGTCTGCACGTGACCATGGATGTAGGGATATCGCACTATGCCGTATCCGGTAATCGTATAGTTCAGGCGCAACCTTAGGACGACGAGTGACAATGTCTCCTTTGCGATAAGTCCAAATGGCTCAGGCAGTACCTACCTAGGTACCTAGCTACTTGCCGCTGGTTTGGCTAGCGGCAGTGGACGTCTCCATGGAAAAAGCATGGGTTCCATCCACTTTGCGCATAAGCACCTTCCCAGGGTGTCGATTGATTGCCCAAAGATGGCAATGGCATAATCAATTGCAGCTTTCAAGCCTAGCTTGTTCCCTCACTTAGCACGTATATAGCCTGGAGGAATCTCTGCTGTGGTGAGACTTTTCGTCCTCTTCCCACATTCACCCATCATTCGCGTCATCAACTCTTCAGAGTCTCATTCCAAATTCAACAGGTACCTAACACTGTCTATCTTAGCGATCTTTATCCACACTCGAGCAATCATGCCGTTTGTCCCGGTCGATGCAGAATGGGTGAAGGCCGGCATGCCTGTCGAGATGCCCCCCTCCCTGGCTCTCACGCTCCCGTTGCCTTTTGGACTTTCCCAACTACCCCGTCGTAAACCTTTGGTCTTCCTGATACGGGACGGCGACGTGCGTTGACATTTCCTACTGGCCACCCACTGATGAGGCCGACTAACCTACCTCCATCTAAGCATAATTGGAGGACGCACGACCCTGAAGGATCCGTTCGTGAAATCGACATCATGGGCTGGCTTTTCTCCTACGTCAAGCCCCAAGGACGAATAATGCTGTTCTCATCACCTCTTCGTCGAGCTATCAACACCTCCTTGGGGCTCTTTTCGGCTGTTTTCACTACAAACCCTGACGCCCGTCTGAGACTGCTACCATATGCCTGCGAGATTGTAACTGGTGCTATTGCTGATGTCGGCTCGCCCAGAAAGGTTCTAGAGCAGCAATATGGCAACAAGATCAATGCCGAATCCCTTGGAGAGGAATGGTTCAAGGAAGTAAGTCTAACCCAAAGAGTCTTGTTTAGCATTAGCATAGCTAAATTGTACCGATAGGAACGGATAGCAAAAGCCACGCTTCAGAACAGTTTCTGGCGTGCCCGAGAGGTGCGAAGATTTCTCCGGGATGTGCCGCCCGAAATCGATGCTGTTGTCCTTGTCAGTCACAGCGCTTTTCTCAAATACTTGACCGACAATGACCCATGTATGCCATGATTTTCATTTTAACCCGCGTTTATTCTTCCCTCCGACTCTCCGGGCTAATCAAGGTATAACGCAGCAACGGACTGGGACGCACACGAACTGCGGGTGTATACGTTCAGGGACACCGAATCAGCAAGTCAAGAAGCCCGTCTAGAGGAACACCCTGCCTCGTTAGCCATACGGAGAACGCTTCAAGAACGGCTTGCTGGACAACGAAGACGGGCGACGGAAGAGACGATTCGACGTTTGCAGGATGGTCAGCTGCACTTCCAATTCCAATGAATTGCCACGGGTGGTTATGATATTCTTACTTTTTTCTCTCTTCCCCGCCGTGGGTCTTTTGAATTGTTAAATAGTATACGGGATATTCATTATGAAATCACTAGGTGGACGGCCTTGCGAGGGACACCGAGTCTGCAAGGTTACATGGATGGTAAACCTTTATCGGTACGTAATGAAGCAGCGGTAGTAGCACGGTACTTATCAATGTGTCCAAAGTGTAGCTGGTCACTTATCCATGTTGGAAGCATCCTCTATAGTATATGTGCATGTGTCTACAAGGTCCATGTCACCAGGGGTTTCAGAAATCCCGTTTCGGTCGTAAACCCAGCAGTAGGGAGGTTGCTGATATTGGAATTATGAAGGGTTGGCTGAGTGATCGAGGGAGCCGAGATGGAAGTGCCATGCGGTGCAGGTTGAGATGATTTTCTCTTGCACTGGCGATCGGCATTGGTGACGTCGGTCTCCTTTGGGAGACACTGCTTTACACTTGGACATGTCAGTATGGAGGCACAGCTTAGTTGTCGGGAATAGACGGACCTGGTTGAACTGTAGATGCAGTGAGACAACGTGCTTAGGGGGTGTCTCGTCTGCAGAAGGTGTCCTGGTGCCGCTGTCGGCTGTATACCTCATCTTCTCGATTATCGGCCCGGTGATCCGAGATAGGCGTATGCTGGACAGTGCATTGCCAAGCTTGAATATTATGGTTTAAGTCGTGATCAGACCTCAGAGCATAGTGTTGCCTACGGAAGTATAGGCAGAGTGGCGTCTATTCAGGAAGTAGGAAAACAGGGGCTGGAGGGAGTGTCGATTAGCCAGCCAAGAGCAGTTCCATTATCTCGGGATCGTCGCGCTGATATTTGCGTACGTGGTCTACGCATTGAAGTTGAGACGTATGGGACAAACAGAATGGTTAGATACGGAAGAAGTATGAAGACTGTGTTCTAAGTAGCACTGCATGCTACATACAGTACCACAGTCGTTGGACAGGGCAATTATCATGGAACTGGCATTCCGCTCCATGCCAGATAAAGATATGGCTATTGTTGCGGCCCCATTAAGAGTCCGTTCACGCAGAATCATCCATCACTATGCTAACGCCCGTCATATTTACTATCCTGGAATCTTGTCTGACAAGTAATCATGCAATTCTCTCGTTTATATCGTTGGTTCTTTTTAGTCTCTCTTTCGGAATCTCTTCAACACCATTTACCGCACAGTAGCGTTCGTCAGGCTCTTGACGGTGCAAACGCCTCCCTTGGTCATCAGCTTACCGAGAGCCGGCTTGCCTTCCTGTCCCTGAACCGCAGGCACGGCCGCGCTTTCAAACGCAACCTCCAGGTTCTCCGTGGTCGTGAAACCAGGCTGGAAAGTCTCCCAGATCTTCTTCTTCGGGTTGAGCACCTTCTCGGGCTCGCCCTCGCTCCATCCGTCAAAGTACACCCGCTGGCCAGCCTCCGCGCCCGCAGGGGGGTTCACCAGCTCGACCGGACCAGCGTGCGAGTCCTCACCTTCAGCCACACGGGGCGAAGCAGCCAGCACCATCGCACAGGACTTGATGCCACGCATGGTGACGGGCTTCAGGTTGCACACGGCCACGATCTTGCGACCCTGCATCTCCTCCAGGGGGACGAGTCCGTTGAGACCCGAGCACACGGTGCGGACGGTCTTTCCGGTCTCCTCGTCCACGGAGGTGTTTTCAGTGCCGGGGGCATCGCCGCAGTCGATCGTCGAGACGTACAGCGAGTCAGCGTTGGGGTGGTTGATGGCGCGGAGGATGTGGCCGACGCGGAGGTCGATAATGGATGGAGACGGGGGACCGGCAGGCGCGGGTGCCGCCTTGGGCTGCTTGGGTTGCTTCTCCTTCTTTTCCTTCTTCTTGCCCTGGGGCTTGTCGCCGGCCGCGGCCTCGCCCTCCTTGGCCGCGGGGGCGGGGTTCTTCTCGGGCTTGCCCTGGCCGACGACGACGGTCTTCTCGCCGGCGCCGGCAGCAGCAGCCTTCTCCTTCTTCTTGCGCTCCTTCTCCTCCTTGGGGTCGACGGGCTTTGGCACGAACCGCACGTCGTTCACGTCAATGACCACCTTCTCCTCTTCGGGGATCTTCAGGGCAAAGAGCCGGCTGTTCTGGACAAAGTCGACGTGGCGGACGATGTGATGACGGCCCTGTTCGCCGGTGCGTTCTTCAGGTGTCCACTTCTCGACCAGAGGCGCCAGGAGCGCGTACACAGCGATGTCGGCCACAGAGGGCTTTGCGCCCAGAATGGTCGTCCGGGTCGCGAGGTGGCTGTTGAGCTGGTCAAGGATCTTGCTGACGGCCGGCTGGTCATCCTTCTTCAGGGCAGACTGGAGACCGGACACAGTGGCCAGCCATTGCTTCACGTCGGCGTCCTCACCGGTGGAGTAGGTGGTCTGGGGGAAAATCTTGGGCGAGGCCGACAGAAGGTCGGGCTCGGTGGCATCGGGCGACACGGCGGCCGGGTAGGAGCGGTAGAGGAGCGAGAGGAGAGAGGTCTCCGGGGCGGAATTGATGGCCATGGTTGCGAAAGGGCGGGAGCAAGGCTGGACAACGGAGGAGGTTCGGAGATGAAGGCGAGGAGGGGCAGGTGGAAAGAAAAGTAGAGGTGGGAATCGCGGGGTTCCTCTGGCGGCCCGTACAAGGCTCACGGCTGGGCGGAAGACCGACGACAACGTGGATTGCATAAGACCCCGGGGTAGGGGATCTATTCTGTGTAGAGAGAAGAACTGGGAACGATGATAAGAAGCAATTATTCGCGTTGTATCGGATTCAGCGACGTCTTTCTGAGCATTCTTTTTTCCCTTCTTTTTTCACCGCTTACTCAGGAGGGCGGCGGATCCGGCAGAATAAGGCGGTCAGTCTCTTACCCGATTAGGAAATCACACGAAGTATACAGATCCTCAGGCAACTCCTCAGGCTCACAATCCTCAAGAACCGTCATGATGATCATCATGACTCATCAGACACCGCCTGGAACCCTTCTATAAAGCGGATAGTCCTCCAGACCCTTTTCTTTTCAATTTCATTCCACTTCAATACTCATCATGCCTGTCACACTCAACATCGCGAATCACCGGTTGGTGGATGTACGAGAAAGCGCATGAAGATGAAGCGCGGGAAGAAGAAATGGAAAGGATTGAAGAGAATATGTAGGGAATGGGAAGTGTAGTATTTGGGGATAAGCCTTGGTACCGTCGTTATTATAAGTTGTGCCAGAGACTGTGGGCCTTGAGGGCTGAGAGTCAAGAGGAGCAGCTGATATTCTAACGTTTTTGCTGGCAACTGCGTATAACGCTTCTTAACTGGCATTCTAGGGACCCATAGTCAGATTTTTTATGGATCAATTTCCTTTCCAGTTCTATCTTTCCTCAAATTTACACTCTTGAAAAAGCTATAGCCATATGCGCATTATCCTAGAGAATCAACCAGGGTCGAATAGGATCAATGTCAAGCACAAAGCATCAGACTTATGTATAGTCTCCAATTTCCATCAACGAGAAGTAGCCCATTGCCATCCATTTGCCTCCACGTAATTCATCACTGCTCTACCTGCACTAGGCCATTGAGGTCATCCATATCGATAGGGCCGTTATGAAGCGGGGCAAGTTTCGTGCTGTGATGCGTCTCACGTCCATCATAGCGGTAAAATTGAACTTTCTTGCCAATAGCAACAGCTCCATGGAGTCTCTCTACAGCATAGGAAGTTGCTTCGAGGCTATCCAGGAACTGGGTACTTGTTGTATCTCTCCAATCGCCCAAAGTGTCAAGGGACGGTCGCTGGCATTTCACCTGCAAAATGCAGCGTTCGATAAAGCCGTCTGCCTCCGTTGGGTCTTGGCGTAGTGCCAGTATCTGGAGGATAATATCTGGCATATTGTTGTTCGTAGACATTTGGGCTTTGACAGCGCAGTGGTAGCCTTCCAGAACGGGGAACCAAGCCCCAACAATCGCTTGCCAGAGCCTCTGCACAGCCTCCACGAGGCTCTTCGGCTTAATCAGGTACAGAGCTAGCCGAATAGCCGTGAAGTCTAGAATTCGAGGGCTCTGGGACATGGTGCTCGGATTAATCAAGAGGGAGCGTGTAAGCTAGTGAGAAGTATGCAAAGCGAAAAGACGAAAGTACTATTGCTGTGGTCTGTAGGTGCGGGATCGGGCTGGAGCTGGATAGATGCAGGTTTAAATACGCGTTGTCCGCGGCTACGACAAAGCCTCTTCCAGGACGCGCTGGTCTTATCAAAATAAAAGTCAGAACTAGTCAACCATTTCGATATAATCTTTCTATTTATACATCGTACGCGGCTCTTGGAACATGGCATGGCTTAATTCGTCGCTAAGCGCCGGGACAGAGAACCTGCCGGATTCTGTAGAAGCTATTGACTCTTCTATTGGGGGAGTCTTGGTAGGCAAGGGGCCTAAAGTGGTAAAGCTTGTATATATAATAGGGCGCGTACATGAACAGCACTTCACGGATGGATCCGGAAAAGCGCGCATCTGGTGGTTTTTACACTCAAATGATCTTTTGCATGTAGCTGGCTAAAGATATATAGTAACTAATGAACTATAGAGCGGTATATGGTGCTATGCGCAAGCTCATAACGCATATATACAGCGTAGACTCATCTTGTCTCCCTATTGGGGAGGAACACCATCAGTGACACTGCCATATGGGCCCACAGTCCAGTTGCCTTCGCAGGAGTACTGAAACTGCGCCTTACCCAAGCTGCCTTTCTGTACCTCCAAGAATGTCGACAACTCACACCATCCATCGTCACGATATTCACACTCTTTGAAGCTGGCATGCAGCGGCACTGTTCGTTGATTCAGGAGGAAATGCACGTAGCGGGTTTTGCCCGTACCGGAAATGTAAGACCTCTCGTTTTCACCCCGCGGACGTCTGGTCTTGACGGCATGCAGAGTTTCGATAATCTCAATGTTCAACCGGCCAGCAAATGGCGTAATCTTCCCAGCATCGAATTGTTTATGGGTAGGTGGCCCAGTCGGGGGCAAATAGTCGGCGAATTGGCGGATGCCAAAGGCCGAGAGCGCCGCCAGGATGCTAGCATCGTGGCCAAAGTCGAAATACAGTGGCTGGTCGAGTGGGAAGGTGACCGGGTTGGTAGCAAGGGTCAGATTCGCGCTCGTCTGGCCCGGAGCAACGTCAAGGAGGTGACTCTCGACTCGGGCGAGGAATTCCTGTACCCAAGCAATGCCGGTAGCACGGCTGATCGGACTGCCAAAGCCCATCAACGATGACGACACGATGGAGGACGCATAGGAATAGCCCTCCCATTCCTCGTAATCAAACAATTGGCAGAAAGAACTGTAGCCGAAGCTGACCGTCTCGTATGCACACAGAGTTTGTGCATCTGCACTGTCAGAGACAGTCCAGTTAAAACCACTGGCCATTTTCCTCAGCTTTTGGGTCTTATCCTTAAGGTAGATGCCCTGCCATGTTCGCATAGCGTCATTCTCAAGGCTACTGAAGATCTTTCCCGCGTTGCGGCAAACGCTCATTCCAGTCAGGGAACTGTTGAATCCCCCTCCGGAAATAAGAGGTAGGATATTGGCATAATCTCTCCACTCCAGGCCAAAGAAGCCTGCCAGGAAGTTTTCGGCGCTCTTCAGGGCACGATCACTCGTAGTCGAACGGACCACCAGCTTGGACCCATTCCGATACAGGGACCCATAGTTGTAGTAATGCAAGACACCGCTATCGAAGAGCTCCTGGCGGCCCATGGGGACCAACACATTCATGCCCTGGGACCAGGAATACTCATTAAGAAAAGCAAGGTCTCCAGTGAACTTGGTTCCATGGGCCGTGGCATTGACAATCCGTTGAGCGAAGGCCGCAATGGTCTCGGAATCGGAGGGATAACGAGACCCATGGCGATGGATGAGGTGCACCTGCGTTATATCTGATCCCTCGGGTAAAGGGTACTCGGCCACGCCGAATCCCTCCTCACTCGTGAAATATGGGCTATCGTTGGGATTAGTATATTTCACATGGTAGTGCTGCTATGGACGTACCTCAGGTTCCCCATGAGATGGAAAATATTACGGTTCTTAGCACCTTTAATAGGCTCAGACGTCTCCAACGGAGCATTTGGGACGTAGGTCTTTTGGCCAAACGGGGCAGGATTGGTCTCTGCCAACATAGGAGCTGTTCCAGTCGCGGTTACTCCTGTATTGGATGTATGAGAGACTGTCTTCACGATATAATGGCAATGTTTCTTACCTTGGTAGCTTTGCGGCCTTGTCTGAAACCAATCCGCCTCTGTAGCAGTGGCCGACGGGCCCAAGGAAGTGACTCGAGGATCAAGAGCTACAGCTTCTATTCCTGAAGCTGCTGCTAGCAGTATGAACCCGCTATAACGCATATTGTAGAGCTATCCAATTCACCGGCGATGGAGCTGTGTAGAGACTTTTCCAGTACAAGACCGTAGATCTGCTCCTTTTATAGCATCGCGACACTTCCAGCTGCAGACATTTCAATTTCATGTTGGACTCCAGATGAGGAAATTAGAGCTTCAGAGGCGGAATATTCCATAAGCCCAAGAGCTGTTAATTTGACTAGCTTGGATGGAGTGTCGAGATACGCATCCTTTTGGGCGCACGTGTGTCAACGGCGGAACGTCGTAGTTCAGAGTCGTCTAAGCGAGATGGTCGTGGCTGAGATGCTTTCTCCACATCATAGTTGACAGTCAGGTATTATCAACCGCCACGATCCGGTGCATAAATCGATGCCTGTTAACCGCTGGGTTGTATACCGTATGCATTCTATGGTCGGAGCATGTGGTTCGACGAGATACAGCAGCCCACAGAAATACCCCTAAAAAGGGAAAAGGGATATCGGACGACCGCGCGTGTCTGTAAGGGACCGAATTATTCGAGATAAATGCCTCTGGTTGATCCCAGCTTGGCTAAATAGATGCACCATATGCGCATATACTGTTCATGGTGTTGTTCCGAGAGGTGTCTGATACTTGGTCGCGGTTTCTTGTCCGTCTCAATTGAAAGCGCGCCTGGTTGCCTACTGCTTGCCATTGGGATCTACATCACGGTGCCTCAGGCAAATATGTCTCAGTTTAACATATGGAAATACTTGGCACTATTGGCATGCCCATGATTCCAGTGGTTGTCAGGGCACTTCTTTGATCAGATTGTTCTGGCGGCCACAATATATATCTCACACAAAGAAGGTGCATCGCTTGATAGAAGAACCACGTAATGTAGTTAACATCTTACTTGATACCTGCTTGCTACGAGAGTACGCAGGAAGCGGGCTCAAGGCAGTATGGAGATTCTATTTATCATTGTACCATGCAGAGTTGTTCAACATGTATATGTAGCCTATTTGACGAAGCATGTATCCAGGCTTAAATATATTAAGGAAGATATTTTGCACAAGAAGCATTGATGGTCTAGTGGTTATGATTGCCGCCTTCCACTTATCGGTGTTAGCGGCAGAGCGGGGTTCGATTCCCCGTCAATGCATTTTTGTTTTTGTGATCTTTTTATCCCGATCAAGAACCTAACTAAGCCCATGGAATCCGATTCCTGATTCATGACGGAGCGTCTTTTGTTTATTTAGCGGTCCTCGTGGACCTTGCTTATGCACGTCCATCAGCACTTACAAATGTGCAATGTGCATAGTCCACTAAACCCTCCAAACTGAAGACTATCAGTTTATTCAACGGTATAAAACAACTGATCGAAAGGCTCTGTATCAGGAAAAAGACCCTCAGCCAACGACATGTCAATCTCATCCCACTCGCTCTGGTCCCGGAACCCCGCCAGCTGTAGCAGTGTCTGCGCGCCTTTCGTCCCATCAGAAACAGGGTCCAGAGCACTGCAACCTGCGTCGAGGCCCATGATCGCCCCGGCAGCCCACTCATCCTCCCAGCCATCGTAGACACCGTGTCGCGCGCCGGCAGCCGCAGTAGTAACATCCACCGGCGGATCGATCACCAGGATCTGGTCCATGTAATGTTGCACAGTGCGACGGACCTCCCCCGCCACGCGATGGCGGAATCGGGTCACCGCCTCGGAGAAGCTGGTCAGGATCTGGTGGTAGAGACGGGCCTGTGGGCTGGTGCGGCCGATATCGTTGAGAAGGTCTAACGAGTTGTCGAAAATGGTTTCGATATCGCGGCGGGGTTCACCGGCGAACATGGAGAATCCGAGGACGAGGCCGGCACCAAAGATCCATGCCCTGGGGTGATTTGAGCGTTAGCCACCAGGTCACAAGTGTATGGAGGTAGTGAGCAACGTACTTGAGGAGACACAAATTCCCAAAAGCGAGCCCCGCCGCCTTTGCCCGCTGGCACATGTCGACCATATACAGCGCAGAACTGACGCACACTTGTGCGAGCTTGGAGACCTTGTTGTTCTTTATGTTCACATCGGAGGCCTCGACCGGGTCGCTGATCAGATGGTCTGGCGCCTTCCCATGCAGACGTGATGTGAGATAGGCGATGAGATACGGACGAGTGACGAGGATCACAGCAAAATAGTACACGCACGACACATGAATGTTGCCTATAAGGTGTTGTCGATCGACAGTCTCTACAGCGGAACTGCTATCAGCAGCCTGGCGAAAGCGGAACTGGCGAAGGGCCATCGGGAGGCCGTGACCCCACTGCCGGAGACGTGCGAGAAGGTCCTCGGCCGCGGGAACATGGAGGATGTTGTCCTTGCTGAGAGTGTCGACAATGTCCTCGAGGAGGGTGCACCCGTCGACGATGGCATGGAATGCCGATTCGGCATTCTCGCTCTCAATGGCGTTGGGGACACACCGCACGACTGGTAGGCTTTTCGGTCTGGAAAGTACGAAGCTGCTCAGGACGTCGAGGATGCGTGTGCTGTGCCATATCCGTCGTCTGACAGGCGCAGTTAATATCCGTTGTTGACAGGAATGGTCAGAATATGGAGTACCTGCTGTCACGCTCCTCCTTTGGGAGACTATCCGAGTAACCGTCCGGACTATGGAGATCGAGGACAATGGCTGCTCTCGCAGCTACCCCGAGGAACATAGAAGCGGCGTTGCGGTGGCACGCACCCAGCATGTAGAAGGACATCAGGAGGAAGATTCGGACGGTCCCCAGACTCTGGCCCATCAGCATGTCGTCAAATGCCAGTTGCCGCGCGCGGTAGAAGTATCCGTTTGCTAGATAAGCGTCCTCCTCTGACCCGCTGACCTGGGCTCCTATGGCTATGGCGACATCCATCGCAGCGGCGTCCTCCCGACTCACAGAGGAATGCGATGCGGATTTCGATGGAAGATCCCGTGCTGCTAATAGGGTGTGTATTTCATGTGCAGTGAAGAGGTCGAGAATCCCGCTCGTCTATCCCGAGATTAGTGCACCATCGCGTTTGATTCCCCTGATGCTTTCTAAGACATACTGCTTCGTGATAGTAGTTCATCCAAGAGGTGATCTTCTCTGAAGTAGCATTCAGATTGAGGCTCGAGGGAGGATGAGGATCCGCCTCGAGAACTGTGTGGTATCGTTCATAGTCCGTAAAAGAAACCGAACCCACATACCCCTTGACTGTTTTGCGCAAGAAATGTAGAAACGATAAGGACGAAGTTTCACCCACGTACACTGTTGTGATACACATTTAGCCTCTGACGTAACAAGAACGAAAAGGAGGTACACAACTGTAGCAATTTTGAACCTTTTGATGAGCTGGATGCCTGCTCTGGCAGACTGGTCTGTATAGGATGGTCGTCACTCCTTGACTCGGGAGTCACCACGCCAGACAACAGACTATCTAGCTGGAACGACGTATCGATTTCATTATTGATGTCCAAATTTGGAGGACAACCGCCCTGGTCAATCGCGTGGGTACGGCTATAACGAGGGAGTACACCCTGCCTTCGACGACGACGATCGGTCCCAGTATAAATGCATGCATGTGGCTGTTCTCGACGCAGACAAGAGGCGCAAGGCTGCTGTGAGTCGCATCGTATCTTTAGGGCCTTGCATGCCTGACATGCACGGCTGGATCGTTGTCGATCTTCGGGGCGCACCTTGGGACGGGGCATAGAGAGGAAGACGTATCAGACTTTATGTGTAGTTGAATATATTGGACGTGGAAAAGCAATGCGTGTACTACACACTTGGTAGATGAAGGAGTCTCTCCAACTGTATGAACGCTTATCTATCCGAATCCCTAGAATCTACCCCGCATTGATGTTCTGCGCATTATCTGGTGCTGAATAGCGTCTTGGTAGGGGGTGAGAGGAGAGAAATGCCACCATGGCTTCAAGTCATAGAGGACCTGGCGGTCAATAGCCTACTTGTAACCTTACTTTTTATAATGATCACATTAAGATTTATCTAGAAGGATACGTGGGACTGCCAGTATAAATATAAACCTCTAGAAGAAACAAATAGCAGAGCTATCAAGGGTCTTGGAATTTAAATAAATCATGTCCCTATTGAGTATACTCGAACATATGGAGTGCTCTCTATCTGTCCCAGACGGCGCCAGGTACAACTCCGAGGCATTTCGTGTCCATATCCGTCCCTTATCCGGCGCCGGTTGTTAAACCGGATCTACTGCGGGGATAAACAGGAAGGCTAGTTTGGAAGAGGCTTAGATAGGACGGAAATGTACCGAGCTGCTTATCTGCCATTCTTCACTCATGGATAAGCTGGTGTGTTCTTCTCCGCTTGTCGGTTATGTCCCGGCAATTGTGGTTGCCGCTCTTTTAGTCCAGACTGCTACGGAGTCGACGCAGTGATAGCTGAAGCTGAGCTCTCTCTACAGTGTTGGCCGTAACCCAAGTAATGTCCACATGCTAGGTGCCGGTATACTCAAGTTGGACGATTCAAAGCGATCTATCGAATGGATGTAGATGCTCTAGTTCTCAACGGATGTAGTTTAATTTGTGGAACATCTATATAGATCGGCGCAAGGAAGTTCTAGAGATGGGAGCGAGGGAATGGGAGGCCATCTTGAAGCATTGAGACATCCACCTGATTATTGCAATATCTTGTGAGTAAAAAGGCGTTCTCGTTCGAATTGGTCCGACTTACATAGGATGGATTCAGCTGGCCAAGGTTCGTCACCCCAAGAAGAGCCATCGTCGTCTCAACCTCGTGCCTCAGTATCCGGATCGCCCGACTGACACCTCGTTCTCCAAAGGCCAATGCGTAAAGAAATCCACGACCGAGTCCGACGGCCCTGGCGCCCAATGCAAGAGCTTTCACGATATCCGCGCCTCGCGTGATGCCCCCATCGACAATCACTTCACAGCGATCGAAGACCTGAGGGCAGTGTTTCCGGATTGCTAAGAGAGTGTCGACAGCAGAAGGAGCTCCTTCGAGCTGTCGGCCTCCGTGATTAGACAACCACGGGTGCACTCCGTACTCCATGCACAGTACCGCGTCTTCCCAAGACTGGATACCTTTAATCGCAATAGGTAGATTTGTAATTTTTCGGAGCCATGCAATTGACGAGGGCCAGTCGAACTCGGTCCAGATTGGGCTATCATTTGTGAGTTCTTGCTTTCATTGGTCGACCCGGCGATGTAGAAATACTCACGACCGCTTCACTGTCGGACCACTGGCAAATCCATCGTTCGCTTCTTCATCTTGATCTACATCCGAATCGTCACCCTAGCCTCATTAACTCAGTCATCACTAATTTGAGACACTTCATACTTACGCCGTCAACACTTAGGCGCAAATCGCGCTCGCGCTTGCCACTCCAAATCGCGTCCACAGTCAACGCGAACCCTCTATACCCCAACGCAATCGCTTGCTTTATTTCCTTCTCTGTCACAGACAGATCGTTCATGGCATATATCTGCCAGTACAGCGTTTGTGCCGGCCCACGCGCGTCTGCAATTTGCTTTTGACTACACCCAGCCATATTGCATACCCAGTGTAGAACGCCGTGCTTTCCGGCCGCTTGTGTCAGAAGTACCTCTCCAGTAGGATGGGCTAGCTTGCCACCCCCGGCGGGGCAGATGAAGAACGGCACCGAATATTCTGTTCCGAGGATGGAGGTTGTCAGGTCGATGCTGCGGATGGGCCGTAGGACTCGCGGACGGAACCGAATGGTTCGCCAGCTATCTTTATTCCATCGCACCGTGAATTCGTCCTCGGCGCCGGATTGGAAGACTGGGAAATTGAAGGCAATTCCTTTATCAGCCGTGTGGATTAGCATCATGTTGGTGAGACGTACAGGCGAACGAGCGCGGCGGCAGGATCTGGGAAGCAGCGCGCTCGAAATCCTGGATGTTGATTATAGACCGGAGTTTTGGTCGTGTACTCTTGCGCTTCGAGGCCTGTGACACGGATGTTTTTCCTGGTGCCACGTCCAAGTTGGAACTTGGGTTGGGGTCTGCCACAGGGCCTAGGTGCAGTCTAGATGCATGTTAGGCGAGTCGTAGGAAGTGATTCAATTCGAATGGTATACTCTGGTGATAGATATTTCTCTATTACATTTGTCGGATGGATAGGCTCGAATTCTTCCGTCGCGTCCCGCCCAGCATACTTGAGAATAATACGGGGACCACCCGGATGAGTATCCAAGTATGAACTTAGGTCATAAACATTCCCTCTGATAATCACCCAGCAGCTGTCTTTGGACCGATGCTGGCTGACCTCGGCCCTGTCAAAGATGGAAATCGTAAGAAATGGAGCTGATCCTTGCAATTCACATGCGGATGCAGACATACCTCGTTAACATCGTGATTAGCAGGCACGGTCAAGAGCAAAATGGCGATGTCCTCGCTTGTCCATCCTACGAACGGCGTAAATGGCAGCTCGGGTATTTAAATCTCGGTCTTGCACAAATAAAACTACCCATACAGTTGTTGCTCGCGCGGAAAAGGGTCCTCAGCTATCTCGGGTATGGGCAGGACACCGGCGTGCGGGGCCCGGATATCACCCTTCAGTTTTCTCTGGGATTGAGGGTTGCGGAGATTTATTTAACTGTAAGACTTTGATCTATTGAGATCTGTGACAATCATCGAATGTGACCTGCGAAAGAAATCATGGACGCCGTCTTCGCAAAGATTGCACAGGACACGGTCAAATTCGACCTCGGCGATGAAGAGGTAGACGCCCACGACCGCGAGGGCAATGGTATTTCTGGCGCTGACAATAAGTAGGGCTGGAGGAGCCTGTATGAGCCTCTTTATGGCAACCCGCCCGAAAACGTTGGTGTGGTGAAAGATGAACGATATGGGCCGGCCGAGCGCAACCGGTTGGATGTATACTTCCCTCTTGACGACGAGAGAGAAGGAAAGCCGGTGGTGCTGTTTGTCCATGGAGGAGGATTCTTTTCCGGGGACAAGGGATGGAGTGAAAAGGTACCTATTCCCGTTTCAATCTGCATTCGAGTGTTGACTAAAGCATGTACTACCAGTGCTGGGCCAATGTGGGATACTTCTTCTCGCAACACGGCTGTGTCACCGTTCTTGCCAACCATCGCCTGGTTCCGAACGTTGTCTATCCTGGAGGTGCAGATGATATGCAAATGGCTCGCGAATGGGTCTTTCATAATATCGGTGCGCAAAAGTACGGACGAGGATCACCAGAGAAGGTCGTACTCCTGGGCCACTCCTCTGGCGGAGCGCATATTGCTATGAACCTATACGCTGCAGGTGAGGACCATTGATCAATCCAAGCGGCCTTATCTGATTCCAAACAGGAGACCCCAAGCGGACACCTGAGCTACCGATTTTCCCTCCTGTTGCGGGTGTCATCTATCTGAGCGTGCCTTTCTGGTTCGATAGGAGAAAGCCCGTCCGGCAAAGAGTCATTCGACATTATTACGGATCGGATGAGGAGGAGGTCTGGGGTGTAAGTCGAAAGCGATCCGGCAGGAGATTGTTTAGATTCTAACATTCACTGTAGCCTAAATCCGCGCTTGGTCTGTTCAAGACTCTGCCGGACGATTCTCCATTGTTGTAAGTGTTTCCACGCATGACCTTAGTCCCCGATACTGGATAAACCTCTCGTGCTGACACCAAATCAGGGATTCCGAACAGTTGCCGGTCTATATTGGAAGTGTCAAATGGGAGGTGTATGCAATTGGCCTTACTTTCTCTGCAGGAGACTGTATTCCTTACTAATGCTTGGGGCGTACAGAAAAGAAACAGCCGATGCTACCGTGGCCTTCTTCAATGCGTACCGCGAACGCAGCAAGCCTTCTGGTACGCTGCCCAGTTTCCACGTACAGGACAAACACAATCACGTCAGGTTCGTTCAATTCTCCCGGTTCGTTGGCTCACCTTTGCTGATGGCCTCAACAGTAATGTCTTGTCCATCGGGACGACGGATTCGGCTCAGGCTGAGAAGTTGCTGGAATTTGTCCGGTCCTGCGTGGAAAAGGTTGAGAAAAGAGAACAAGGTATTGTTTGTACCAATTCCCAGCTGGAAATACTGGCAGGAGATGATTAATGTGGCTGACAGGTCGCAAGGGGAGTGTAGATGATGGACGCGGGAGAGTGACTCGACTTTAAATAGTGGTCTATAGCACTTCTACAGGGATTAGGGATAGAGGAGAGCAAATGAACATGATACATAAACAAAATTCAACATGTTTTACGTCAGCAGTCTCCCGACCCTATTGTAGAAAGCATTACAGAGACTCGGGGTCAAGGTTGGTAGTGGTAAAAAATAGGTACTATGAAACTTCCAACTCCATTGAGGCAAATAAAATTATATCTATGTCTAATCTCTTCATGCCCTAAGTCTTCAAAGAGCATATCTGTGCCATAACTTCGTTCACAGTGCCTAATATCTCATACATCAAAACCAACGAGCTACTAAGTATTCAGACTATGGAATCCTAATCAGGTGAATGCTCCCACACCAACAAACAAGATATACGATAGATACACAAGATACTCCATCAATTCGCAACTGCAGTTTGCTGTTGGGCAAAATTCCTCTCGACTGACTGGGTAAACCACTCTCCAACGGTCATGGGAGGACTATGTAAGGACCCGGATTAGCAGCGCGTTTCCTGAGCACACATAGGGCTTCACTTACTATTTCTTCAGGGGGCCCTGAAGAACAAAGTCCCGTCTCGATTGATTGAAATAAGCGATTGAGTACCGCGACGGGGATTTGCCAACGTCGCTGGCTCGCACTCGATGGAATGTGGATTTCAGGCGGTCATCCGACCATGCCACTGTGGGAGAGGTATATTAGGACCGTATATTCTGCATCTAGTGGGGGCAGACCGCGTTCGCTCACTAAGCATATCACCAATGTTGACTACAATCTGACCTGTCTTCGCGGGAAGAGGCGTGAAAGTGTCGCCCATCGCGAAGCTGGTGTGCGACTCACGGCCTGGACAGATCTCCAGGCCATCTTCTCCATCTCGCTGGAACAGCAGGGTGAGACAGCCGATATCAGTGTGGCTTCCAGCGCGCCAGGTGCCTGCTGCGTTTTCCGAAGGTGGGTAGTGGATGAGACGAAGCTGAGTTAGACAGTCTGGTTTGGTCACGTCGTTGGCAACGCGAAAGTAGTCTTCGGGGAACCCCAGTGCAACTGCGAAGCAAGAAACTGGCCATCTAGTCAGTTCACTCATGCTAGTCGAAGCGTTGTCATCAAACTTACACAGTTGGTCGGAGATTGTCGCGCACTTCCCCATAAAGTCGCTGGTAGCCTGCTTGAACCCTGGCACATCTTCATCACTCGGCCACTCCGACCCGCGCTGGAGCCATAGTGACTCCTTTTGATCATACAGACCCGTGCTGGGACGTAGTTGGGCCTGACATCCATCAGCCTGTAGGATGTGCGCAGTGAGGCCTTCGGGTCAGCTTACCTTGTATTCCCATCCGTTGTTGGTCTTGTTACTATGGGGAGTCTTTCCCTTGATCTCGTGTGGAAGATCAAAAAAGGACTTGGAGATGGCGAACTGCTGCTCAATCTCATCTACCGTGATTCCATGGTCCACGAGGGTAAGGAATCCAGCCGTCTCTGCAGCGTCGACCAACTGCCGAGTGATCTCCTCTTTTCTGGTGTCAAAGTCTACAGAGTTCTCACATTTTTAGTCTTGCGGTAGCTCGGTCGTAGTATGCTGCCTACCTTTGAGGGAAATGACAGGTACCAGTCTTTCGGCCATGGTGAAGTTACGTCGGATGCAAGTGAGACTTGTTGGATTCGTGTTAGATAGCTGGGCTGAGTTCTCTCCTCGGACTGTATCTGATCCTCTTCAATGTGGCATATATATGCCATTGCGAGGCTGGAAGTGCCCCTCCATAGCGCCTCGTACATTGATCAGTGATGGTACATAGCCGTGGTGGTCCATATCCGGACGGGAAAGCCGTATCCAGGCTGATGTTCGAACATCCCTCTGCCTCGTGGGTATCACTTCCTATCCCTATCAAGGCATGAGTGCGATATCCGTTATCTCCTGTTCTCGGCATCCCCCGCATTGTTCCTTCATGTTGGGGCTTGCAGATATATGGAATTGAGCCATGTTCACGGTGTATCCTCCGAGATGGTAAATATTCCATCATGTCTGAGAGCAAAAAGGAGATCCCAGATATTCCCGATGTGGAAGTTGGTGTTGGTGTTGTACGTGTCACCCTCCACGGCGACATGACTTGCTAACAAAGCTTCAGGGGTATAACCGACCCGTTGGCTTTGCGGACCTGGCCCCAGCTGGCGTCAACCTAGATGAGGCTCGAAAGTCGAAAGCACTGAATTTTCTGGCAAGTCACCAAAATGACATCGATCTCGACTCGCCCGAAGCAAAGCGGGTGCTTAGAAAGATTGATATGCGGATTATGCCGCTGGTGCTGGGCATTTATGTCCTCCAGCTGCTTGTAGGCAATCCAACGGAGGGCCATGTTTCTTGTATCCATCACTGACGGCAGCTATCAGGACAAGAACAGCCTGTCATTTGCCGCCATCATGGGCATCAAAGCCGGATACAAATCTCACCGAAGATCAGTACGACTGGCTGGGTTCCATCGTGTAGTGAGTACAAACTTCTCTCCACTTCTCCAATACTAACGACATGTAGCTTTGGGTACCTGTTCGGCGAGATCCCAGCAGCATTCTTGATGCAGCGGTTCCCACTGGCCCAGTACCTGGGGACCATGAGCATGCTTTGGGGCATTATCGTGGCGATGCACGCCGTCTGTCATGAGTTTGCCGGGCTGGCTACGGTCCGCTTTCTCCTTGGCGCGATTGAAGTATGCACGACGCCCGCCGTCATCTACATCACGAGCTCCTGGTACACCCGCAGCGAGCAGGTCACCCGCGTGGCCCTGTGGTATTCGACCTCTGGCTGGGCGCAAGTGCTCGGCGGGTTCTTCGCCTGGGCTATCAACCAGGCGGACCGCTTCCGATGGCAGGGCCTCTTTATCTTCTACGGCGGCATCACCTTCGTCACGGGGCTGCTGCTTTTGTTCTTCCTCGCGGCGTCGCCAATCGATGCCGGCTGGCTGACGGACGACGAGAAGGCGATTGCGCTAGAGCGAGTCCGCGGCAACAAGACCGGCACTGAGATGTGGGGGTTCAACTGGAATCAGCTCAAGGAATCCCTCTGCGATGTGCGTCTGTATTTGTTGTTTCTGATGATGTGTTCGACGGGGCTGCCAAACGGTGGTCTGACTGCATTCGGTAGGCAGACTCGGATGAAGGGTGGTACTCTCCCTCGCTGATCATGCGCCCTTGCAGGACCGACTATCATCTCAGGATTCGGATACGGCACGAACACGACCACCCTTCTTAGTATGGCCACCGGTGCCTGTGTCGTCGCGGGTACGGTTGTGGCCCTGTTCGTGGCAAAGTACACCAACCGGACCATCTGCGGGATCTATGTCGTGGTGCTGGGCTGCATTGGGGTCATCATGATGTTCACCATCCCAGAGGAAAACATCACCGCCAGATATGGGGGTTATATACTCACTATGCAATGTATGTCCAACACTGACATTGTGACAGCGCTTCCGACTACAGAGTTAACCAGACAATGCTCGTAGATCCGATTTGCGTCCTGTCGATCCTTGCATTCATTACTGCCGGTGTCGGTGGGAGCACCAAGAAGCTCGCTTTTGGTGCTGCCTACCAGTTGGGATACGCTGTTGGCAACATTTCTGGCCCGCAGACATTCCTGGGCCATGAAGCGCCGCATTACTATGTTAGTCTAGTTACCGGCCTATTGATATTTGGATGCTGTGAGCTGACCACACTTCCGATATAGACAGCCAAGTACACGATGCTGGCATTCTTGGCGTTCACGATCATACTGTTTGCTTGCTTCGGGCTTCTCCATTGGTATTGGAATTACAAGCGGGATAAGCAAGATGCCCTGGACTCCCAAAGTCAGTACACCTTCTGGTGAATAATATTGTGTGAGATACTAACAAGGTCAAGGTGGGGTAGTACGCCAGCATGTTGCTAATGAGGAGTTCGCTGATTTGACTGATTTTCAAATCCATTCGTTCAGATACCCGTTGTAGAGAAGGGACCTCGAAGGTATAACAGAAAGAAAGCATTGTCAGTAAGGCTGGTTGGATACGGAGCAACTCTAGGTGATATTCACAGCTTATCCTATCAGAATTGATCTCGGACATCTATATGCATGGTCAATCTATTTACCTAAACTACAATGCCCAACAGCCCCCACATCTTAAGTACATTACCACCTAGAGTTTTAGATCTATGGGTCAATTTTCCATCAGAAATTAGGCGACGCCAGGCCGAGCGATGGTCCGCGCAGATCAAAGACAGTAAAGAACGCCTTCAAAAACACGTCGCCGAAGATCTGCATCGAGGTTCCCTGGTTGGATTGAACGCCCCCATAACAAACTGACCATCATGAGTTAGCAGCCATTGTCGAACAGTACAGGATTCTACAAGGGTGAGTTACTCACCTGTCTCGCCGGTTGTCTTGTTGGTACCTATTTCGGAAAAGTTCATATACTCCCCGGGCACAGTAGCATAGTGCTTCTCGCCAACCGCCATCGTCAAATTCGGAAGCACCGCACTGCACGGATAAATGTACCCACTGGCGCTGCTGACATACACTGCTCCCTGAACCTGCTTGTAGTATGCATCCACGACGCTCTGGTCCAGCAGCATGAGCGAGGTACCGGTGTCGGCGATGGACCGGCGCACGTCACGGACGTCCTGCAGGGCGCCACCACCGACCGAAAACGACGCCGACACGAACTCCCAGAACCCGCTCGACGAGTCGATGGTGATGTTGGCCAGGTCACCTTGGTATTTGTCGTGGTCGATGACGCCGAACTCGTACTCGCCCACGCCGTCGCTCTTCAGGGAGGCTGTGAGCACGGGCTCGTCCAGGATTGGGGCGACATTGTCGAAGAAGGTCTTTTGCTGATTGGGCGAGATCGTGTTAAGTTTGGAAAACGCCAGCCCGACAATGCCGTTCGAATAGGTGTCTTCCAGGAATGATGAGGACACCGTCGTTGGGATGCCGATCGCCTGGTCCTGGACGGTGACGCCGCCGACGTCGACAACGTCGGTGCCCACGCCGCCGTACGCAAAGGAGGTGTCGCCATAGGTGATGTTGAAGGTGGAGCCTTTCATCTGCTTGAACGTGGACGAGTTGGAAGGGTTATAAACGGTGCGACCCCTCGTGTCCAGCTTGGGAAGCCGGCTGTTCAGTACCCAGCTGTGATAAGCGTCAGTTTAGTGAGCTGATAAGTATAATAAGGTTCGGATGGTACTAACAAGTCCGAGGAACCGGTGTCAAAGTTCAACACAATCTGTTGGCCGCCAATTTTAACCGGAGAGACGAATGCTGCATCGTTCTGCACTGAGGCCGCACTGACCGCACCGGTCTGATCGGGCTCCGCTACGTCTTGCTGCAACGCGGCGTGCTTGGAGATGGGCACGAAGTCATCCAAGTCGATTCCAAGGTCCATCGGCACGATCCCAAACTTCTCGTATGCGCGGCGGAGAGCTGTCGGGCCATGGATCGTGCCGGCACCACGCCGTACTCGCTCAACTTTGAAGGACCTGCCGTTCAGTTGAGGTTGTCCGGGGGTTGGGGCCGACAACACTCCATAGCTGAGAGATAGGGCGATTAAAAGGGACTCGGGGAGCTTCATGGTGGTCTGGATGCGTTGAGTAGTCTAAGAGCAATCCAGCCCCTCTACGTCCAGCGGTCGAAGATGTAGTATTGTATGCCCGGACCTTCGACCTTCTAGTTCTTTTTCTCCTCTTCTCTCGCAGAGAGAAACGGTCCCAAAGGCAATGAGTGTCAAGGCCAAGTCCTGACTTGGATCCCCGCGAGAATCTGAAAGGACAGAAGAATAAAGAAAAGCGCAGAGAAATGAAAGAATCGAGGATGACTGTCTCGCAGAGCACAGCACAGATCCCCTAAATAAAGAAACAATCTAAAGAGAGTGCCGACACACAAAAAGAATCGAATTGGAGAGAAAGAGCAGAAAAGAAAGAACAGTACTAAAGGGGGACAACAGAAAAGAAAAAAGAAGGCCTCTTGCGCTCTCATGCAAACACCCACCGACTCGATAGCAGACGCCTGCTATACCGGGATAACTCCACCAATGGACAAAAACCCAGCCCATCAAGGACAACGCTGGCTCCATGGCGTTCTGGGCGTTTCCTGGGCAGACCCGCCGTCGGCGACAGCTCATCTGGCTGACACGGCGGAGGCGTCGCAGATCGGTGTCTTGCGCATGTCATTTGCGACAGTCCAGACGCCCAGCCTGCAGGGAGCGCTGATGGACACCTCCGACACCTCCTGAAACCCCGAAACGCCCGGATGTGGGAGCCCAATCAGCAGCCCGGCATGTTGTTTCAGCGCTTGCCTGGCGCCAGCCGGAGTTCAGCCGTGGCGAATCGACATACGTATCACTCGTTGTCTTCAGCCCTGGGTGGTTCCTGCAGAGACGCCCGAGGTCGCGTCAGCATACCCCACACACAGAGCATGGTTCTGTTTTCGAATGTTGGGAAAAAGTCCTGTTCATGGAGAGGGGGTAAACATTCTCACTGTATTTTTGGGTGAATACTAACTAAGTAGTGGAGAAAGGAGAGAAGAGAGAGAGGTAAAAAGGCAAGTAAAAAAAAAAAAGTAGAGCAAAAAAAGAAAAAAAAAAAGAAGCGCGTCGGCGCTGGGATTCGAACCCAGGAACCCGAAGGAATCCGGTCAACTATAGAGTAACTGATCGGAGAATCAGTACATAGCAGCCGAACGCGGTAACCACTGCGCCACACCGACTTCTTGTTAACCAGAGGCAAAAAAGTTTGATTTTATATAGCCCATTTTTACCAAATTCGGCACTTTTCAAGTGGAAAGAAAGGAGCTGGTGTGATAGTGGATGATGAGTAGCCAAAAATGCCATGGTATACAACACGCAGCTCCAATCTACTAGTATTGGGGAAGATCCTTCCTCAGGCACAATTGCACATGCTGCTGCTGAATTCCATCATGATCCATTGCGGGTTAGAGCTACCAAATCACCAGGCATTTCATGAGTACGATTGGCTGGTCCATACACCCTCTCTTCAGTATCTTATTGTGCAGGTAAGCATGTGTCACGCATTGATGGCAGTATGATCACAAACAAAAAGAGAAATAAAAGAAATATATGTCTAATACTCTCGCGTGTCGGCCAAATCAGCAGTTTTAAATATGGTATCACATTTCTCCATTCCATAAACGCCAAACCCATTAGACCTCTAAGAAGCGCTGATCAGATGCACCCGCTGGAAAATATAACATGGC